CTAAATCAACTAAACCCACAAAAGGGTTTTAATAACTTCGCGCTGCGTGTACAATATATTTACAAGAATCAAATAATACGCATTTAGTTTGGCTTTAATTTGAGTCTGCAACTATTGATAATCTAAATAATTATCTGTCGCAATTTAATGCATAACCTATGACGTTCGAGGTGTACTATGCACACATAACCTAGTTTACTCTCGATTTCAAGTATTTGTTTATTGCATGCCAGTCGTGAGATGCGTCACAGAACAACGCTTTAACCTTATTAAAATGGTAACACCGCGTAAATCTACTCCCATTAAAATAATATGATTCAATACGCGTCTGACGGACGTTCGGCTTCAGGTCATAAGACGATTATGTACCACCAGCGCAAGGTCGCTAACAATTTTATTCATTAAAGAAGATTATTAGAACAAGAGCAACTTTTTCGTTTGCATTAACTTTCTACGCGCACGATTTTAATTTTGTAAATTATAAACCTTCGAGATGTTAAGCACTATTGCTATTCTATTTACCACGTCGTACATGTTTTAGTAATTAAGTTTTGCGAAGTAAAGTTAAATATTTTGAGCTTTGAATTTCACTACATTTCGGCAACTCAACGCTCTCGTTGCGTTGCGTAACGCGTCAGAAAGTTTTAATTTTTTTTTGCTCAATCAGGCGGATGATGAGCTACGTTACTACTTAAAATATTAATTCGATTTTAAGATGAGATAGATGATCACAGATGTGGTGAGACATGATTTTATAATAGACCGTTTAGAGTATAGTTACTGCGCGGATGAACCGTGAGTTGCAATTAAAATGAATTAATTTTCCTTAATTCACTCTAATATACTAATGACGTTGTGCAAATGCTTTGAGCGCGCGCATGTGCGGCATGCTCAACGCGTAATGCGTTTAATTTCGAATTGTGCACTCGTGCTTAATACTGCGGTTAATAAATTTTTTATTCGTCTTCCGAAGGCTGGAAGGCACTAAGCGACCACAACATACTCGTATAATCTCTGCGGTTGCGACTCAATCCGCGATCGAGGATCGAAAACCCAAGTCCTCGCGTTGTAGATGAATATAATCCGAGCACAAGCCGCGAAGCTGCAGACGAAATGTGTTGTTGAAGATTTAAAGTGCCGAAGCGGAGTGTTGGATTAGACAGCTCAAGGTGGCACATTCTAAATTACAACAATGGAAATGGGTGAAATAATGTGGACTAGTACGGATGATTACGTTTTATTCCCGTGCGGTGGCCACGACGTTTTAACGATATTTTGATCGTCTTTCATTTCACGCCATTTTTCACCGCGCACCACTTTGCGTTTGCCATCACGACGGATCACAATCTGCAATTAAATCCGTCTTTTCTTTGACCATTAGATACAACAATACACTATGACAAATTGACAAAGAACATTTAAGAATAGCAAGGTTGCGGGATGGATAATGGAGTAGACATTTTCTTGAAGCCAATACAATACAATTTATCATCCTGTCATCAAGAATTTTGATGCGCATAGATTTATCAATCGTGTAGTTAATAAATCGCTTCGACGCTGACTTTATCTTGCGGCGATAAATAATTGAAAGAGTTCATGTGGAATGAAGAAATTAATTATATTTTTTAGACACAAAAAGCTTTGCAATTAAAATTTCTTCTGAGAATCACCCGATTGAAACATGTAATTGCAATTGACTTAATATTACTACAGTTTTATGGCTTTTGCGTTGCACTTTCCTTGGGAAATTATTGTTAAAAACTGCAAATTTTGTTAAGAAAGGAAATAAATAAAATCTAGGCCTGAGGTTATTGTAGTTACGTGGGAAAACAATTTTTATTGTCTTTACGATGTCAATTTTTTATTGAACATTAAAATTACCATTAAACTTTACTAAATCAATTGTTTAAAAGAATAAATTGCAGTAGAAATATGCAAAAATGTATTTAAAACAAAAATTTATCTTAAATTAAATATTATGCACTTTTACAGTATACAATTAGCTTGTCTCACGTGTTTCAGAAAGCTAATAAACACTGAAGCGATCGTTAAGTTGAACCATTGTGCCAGTTGTGGGTGTCGTGCTCTTCATAAAAGCATCCGATTGCGCAACGAGAAATATGCAAGAACGAGTCGTAAACTAGTTTTTACTTTTAATTACTCTCCGCCACCGCTGCCATGCGTTCATCTCAAATCTGAGAAATAAAAACATAATGAAATATATTTATAAAAAACGCCGCAACGTTGATCCATTCTTGGGCGCAGTCTACTTTACTTATAAGTCGTTAATTAGTTGATAATTACAAGCGTGCTCAGGTGAGTCAAGTGTAATTCGTTACAAGCGGTTGCGCAAAGCCATTGACATTATTTATTGATGCGCAATTTTGTCTAGTTTTAGTTAAAGGTTCACTATCCCTACGAGCAGTCATGTCTAAACATGGCGATGAACTGAAAGTACGACTATAACTGAAATATAACATTAAAATGATTTTTAACACACATGTTACAATTGTAGGCGAGTATAATTATTGTATTCAAATGTTGAACCGTGATTAATTCGATTGCCATTACAGAATGTTAATGTTTTATTCGAAAAGTACAAATGCAGTCACTATTTTGGAATCTTCCCAGCACGCATTGCTGAAATTGTTCGCCGCTGTCAAAAGTGTCGATGCAAATTAATCGAGCCCATAAATTTTACAACTGGATTTCATCATAAATGTTTCAAACTTGTACAAAACACTGCCTGGCATGCAACACATTTAAAGTTAATTAAATTACGTTTTTATAACTTTATTCTGAGCGCTTAAAAACAAATTTATAACAAAACACTGACACAATTTCAAAAATATCAGCGCTGTGTTAATATTTGTTTTTATAATTTTTAATATACTGAATATTATGTAACAAAATGCTACAAAATGTGAGACTCACCAAAGTTAATTGTCAAAACCAATGCAATACACGCATCTTACAAGAAAAAAAAAGAGAACGTAGAGATGAGTTTAAAATTACGAGAAATATTCAATAATTTCCTGTAAAAAAATTAGCGCTTGTGTCATACACGTGTGACATTGAATCTATTCAACACTCAATTATTTTGTAGATGAAGATGTGTTATGTCTCAATCAAAATATAATTTATAATAAATGAAGCATAAAAGGATGTAGCAGACAAACATACATATTACACAAAGAAGAACTTCTTCTAGCCGATAAATAGGTCAAAGTCATATTACTCCCTCAATGCGGTCGCTTACAGAATTTAATATTGCCACACATTACACGCTTTAATTAAACGCAAAAATTTAGAACTATTAGATCATCTAGAATCTACATATATTCATATTCAACTTGGAATATCAAGGTCATTACTCTGAAATAAATTATATCAAAAAACAATGAGAACAATAAAAATAAAAACATCGAAAGTGAATTTGAAAAAAAGCAATGAAAGTAATCGATAACAATAGTAAATAGTAAAATACATATGTCAAATGACAATCGTTTGATGATGTCTGATGATGATTGTTTGCTTATTTGCTTATTGCTCGCAGACATACGGAATAGTCGCATAATAAATAATTCATGTAGATGTCTTACACGCTTCCCAAACAACTAACCATCCATTCATTCATTCATCGCTCGATTCTGCAGTGATTCTACAATGCGCTTTGCAACATTTGTTCAACGCATTGTAGTGATTCATAGCGCATGTATTTACGCGTAACTTATTCTATGATAATATGTGCACGCATTGCTTTTATTTGTAATCTAATGAGAGTAAGTATATACATTTTACAATAAATTGTGCATTGTTTTACTAGCGCAGGAGTCGCCTCGTAAAGATGTGTTGTGGAATAGTTTTTAATATGTTACAAAACGCAACTAATTGAAACAAGTCTAATAAACACGTAATTATCACAATGAGTATCTTCTTCGCGCGCGGTTACCAAGTGAGAATCTCATGCGTTGATCTTGGAGCCACGCAACAAAAGAAGAAAAAATTGTGGGTGGTTTAAGATGTTTTATAGAGTGTGGTTTAATTAGAGCGCTACAATTTACACCTCGCGGCAAGTTACCTTATAATTAATTTGCTAATTGGATAAACAATTAATTTATGCAAGAAAAATTTATTTTTTGAAAAATTTAAGAAAAAAATTAAAATTTAGTTTATTTTATGTGTGTAATAATATTTCACGTGTAGAAAAGCTGATACATCAACGCCAGAAACAATTAGACGGATTTTGAAAAGATGAATTCGCTCGCAATTTGTAGGTACCGATGTAGACTACTACCTAAAGCCTGAAATCATAAGCACACGCCGCATACCTGCGAGTAATGTAGTAACGCAAGTAGAAAATAATATATTGATGTAATAGTTAATTATAGGTTTCTCAAACAGATGAGCGCTCGAAATGAAACGACCGCTAACAGCGAAATGCGCTTACATGAACATGAATGCGATTTGTCCTCTGGCGAAGCAAAATCCAAACAAAACTAAGTCAGTCCGCAGCGATATTGATTAGAAAAACGAAACTGTGTATATTCACACTGAAGACCACCAAGGAATACCTGTTTTTTTTACTTTTTGGCAGAAGATAATATGCAATCAAAAAATATAATTTGACAATTAGTGTGGATTTGTATTTGATGAAGAGATTTTTCGTTCGATTGATTTAATGCGTAACTGTACGCCACGTAAACCTTACTCAATTTGAATATACACTTATTTCGCTTGTCTGTGTGCACGTGCGTGTGAGTGGCGATTGCTAAATCCAGCCGCCACAAAGAGGCCGATGATGGCAGCGAAGAAGATCGGCGGACGGACGCCTCATCGTCGGCGCTGCGCGTCTGTGTGCGCGCCGCAAGGTTCCCCGAATGAAAGTAAAACTGAATTTCTTAGATTGCCACAGTCGGGCAATAGACAAATACACCCACTACATAATCGCATTTAGAGTATATAAACATCTACCCGAGATTCGTTGAATCAGATCATCCCGCAGCGTCGAAGCAAAGCGCATCTCTTCGGCTCTGATTCTGCCTTCTGCCAAACAGCGTTTACGATTTTGTTGTGATCATCAACACAGTTTCAAGTGAACATTAATCAGTGTGGTAGCCAAAAGATGAAGGTACTACAAGACACAAATTACAAACCAAAAAATAGTGCATCAGGACTTTTTTTCGAAAAAATGATTTGAAATCGTTTTTTGTTTTCAGGCCGTGTTTGTGTTTGTCGCCCTCGCAGGGTTTGCGCTAGTATCTGGCGAGCCACCAGTGCCGTCCAACCAATATCTGCCTAGCAATCAATATGGCGCCCCAAGCCAATCTTATTCGCCACCTTCGGGTTCCTATGGCGCTCCCAGCCAGAACTACGGTGCCCCAAGCCAAAACTACGGTGCTCCGAGCCAAAACTACGGCGCACCTAGCAGAAACTACGGTGCCCCGAGCCAGACAACAGCCGTAATCAGACCTAACACCCAATATGGCGCCCCATCCGCCAGGCCTACCAATAATTACCTGCCTCCATCTACCGGTGGTGGATACAGCGGCGGTGGCGGTTACAGCGGTGGTGGTGGATATGGCGGAGGCGGCTACGATGATCAATCGGTAAGTTACATAATTCCCGACATACATCTAACACGTGTAAACATTTTGTTGCCATTGTAAGCATTGGTAACATTAGTACTTACCAATGTTGTATTATGGTAACATGCATTGTGCCCGAAGACAAGACACACTTATCGCGGACAATCATCTCGCGCCGAGACGAAGAAGCGTGTGTAATGAGACCGGTGTTACATATATTGAGCAAATGCAACAACTGCATGCGCCTGCGTGTCAACATCGCGTTGCGACATTTTAATAACAATTGCGATAATAAAAATCCTATAAACACAACAAATTGCATGCGCTTATATGTGCATATTGTCATGGAGAACCATAATAGAAGAGGTGTTAGATGATGGAGCCTTCAGATTAGGAAAGTTATAAAAGCAGTCTTTCGACTTGGTTTATTTTCCATTCAATTAATATATTTTATCAATTTATTCTGTTTAGAAATCATCATCAAAATTTTAATCTTACATAACTCCACACATAAGTAAAGATGCGACGGTTAAAAAAGCATTAGGCCATCCTGCAATCATCTTAGATACATACTACATTTACATATTCATATTTTCCCGTTCCCGGTGTTGACAAATCGCCAATTATCAGTATGTAATTTATTTCTTACGATGACCACAGTCACAGTACTACCTTAATAACATTACATGACTATTTATTAATTCATCCAGATAATAATATACCACAAACTCTAATAATCCACTCGCCACTGATTGATAAACAAATTTTAATAGTCAAACTATAATTTAATCCGTGCGTACTTGCATGCTGCGCGTTATTACTTACTTTGAATGTTTGAATTCGTTATTATCAGCTCTCGTTCATAAATTCGATGCGTAGAAAATTCTATGTGGCATCTAGCATGCTTATTTAAATGATGCTGCAGAATGTTTGCAAGATATTACATCATGTCTTTGCAATTTGGTGTAGTTATAGGTTTAGATTTGCGCTGATTGTGATTGCACATAAACGAAATTTTATACTTGCGTGAAACGTGCATCATAATGACAAAAATTAATTTTTATTATTATACTGATGTAAAACTAGTAAATTTTAGTTGAATTTTTTATCAAAATTTTATCGGAAAAAGCCTTTTTAGCTCATAAAACTTATAAGTATTGCCATAATCATGGTTTTAATCTCACATTAACAGCCGTAAACCAAGATTGTTAATATATTTTGACTAATTGTTGCTAAAGTGCTAATTAAGTAATAAAATCAGCCATATCGAGAATAAATAGGTAACGAAACATAAATACACTGCGCTAACTTTCATGCAACTATAAAAGATGAAAATATATTTTCAACGCCCACGCGAACGCAAACAAGTGACATTCGCATGAAGTAAATCTTATTTCCCGCGGAGGTGATCAGGTCAAGCTGGTCAATATTATTTAATGTACGGTATTAAGTATTGATCAATTGTTTCGTAACATATGCGAAATGCAAAACGCCTTTAGCAAAACATCATTATCGCACACTCAAGTGGAAAGCATAATATTAGTGCAATCCTAATGAATATTTAATATACGTAGTAAAATCTCAGCGATATTTAAACTATTCAGACTCGGGTGGAAATTGCTATTCAATTTATTTATTTCAGATCAAAGCGATAAATTTTCGACCGCTCGTGTTGTAAATTATAGATTTAATGTTTATTAACTGATTCAAATTGCACCAATCATGTTTCCGTGTGAAATTGATTTCTAAACACTTAAGACTAAAGGTAGAATTTAATAGCAGTTTCAACATTTCTCTGATACGCTAGGAACCTGCCAACTACAACTTCAAATACGATGTCCAAGACGCTGCTTCCGGCAACGACTTTGGGCATGAAGAATCACGTCAAGGAGATGTCGCCCGCGGCAAATATTACGTCCTCTTGCCCGATGGCAGACGCCAGGTTGTAGAATACACCGCCGACAGCGAAGGCTACAAACCGAAAATCTCCTACGAGCAAGTCGGTGGCGGCTATGGCGGTAACGCTGGTGGATACTCTGGCGGCGGTTACTCTGGTGGTGGTTACTCCGGCGGTGGTGGTGGTGGAAACGGTGGATACCAATACTAAACATCTCCACCTCACGCCCACACACGAGTGAACTAGTTAAGAATAAAAATCGGCAAGGACGTTTCATCACAATGCGCTTTTCATTAACATGTTAAGCGCCGCGTGAGACGTTCTCCTGCCACCGCAAGTTTTCAATCGTTGTACCGTCATCAATTTCGTTCGTTCCGCGCGAACGAAATGTACATAATCGCATATAGTTTTTGTATTTTTAATTCGTAGTTCGAACATATCTAGGTAAGAACTCTCAGCCCAAGCCCAGGTAACCGTCAATGATCACCACTGCCATGTTCATGGTCTCTGATTACACTGATTATTCAACTGTTTATGTAATTCGTAATATTTAACACGTCACAGCATCACCACTATACAATATTTAAGTTTGGGATCTCTGGATGATAATATTTCCGATTTCCTAGGCGGAGGGAGGTATTATTTCAGGTCAGTAAAGTACAATGTAACAAATGAGCAATGAATTTGAAAAATCTTGCATATCGTACTAATTTTTATTTGCCATATTTGTATTATTAGAACGTAAAATTACTGCATTTTCATGACATGACATTAGGAATGTATTATGTATAAACCTTTATGTGCAAATAAATATAATGAGAAATGCATCCAACTGCGCACTTTCTGCATCTTCCTACACTCACAAAGTAAATATTTATTGAAGAATCAAGTAGGAAAGCGTTGCATTTACACATTCTGGCCTAAAAATAATCTCTTACTTAAAATTAAGACAAAATTGTTTAAAAAATAGAAGAATTTGTTAATAACATTAAATTATAGCACTAGCTGCATAAAAAACAGGCAAATTCTTAGTGTGCAAACAAAAAATAAACAAAACACACAAATTTAGTATTTGCAATGATTCACACAGTCAATTTATTTAATTAAATACATAAAAATCATCAAAATTCTTTCACATAATAAAAAATACAAAAATACATTTAATGATACAACTTCTTACATCAATTGTCCTATATAATCAGACCTCTTCAATTTCCTCTTTAAAGATGGCCACTGCACCAGAATATTATCAGCGACATAAATTAAAATCTTCCCACTGAGGGAAAATGTTTGAGTTCTGCAGAAGCTCTCAATGAACACAATCTTAGTGTCACACAAAAATGCAACCTTCATGATAAATGCCACAATACATATTGGAATGCATGTGCCAGGACCATTGCATAGTATTAGATCTGGCCTCAACCTTAGCACTACTGGTATACAATGTAAAGTTGCATAGATTGTTGTAAAGACAGAGCTAATATAACTCTGATGCACATGCCTACTTCTTGGTATTCTTTTTATTGAATATTTGCCTTTATTTATGTGACTTTCAAAGGTGTTCACTTTACTGATACTGGTGGAATCACTACTGGCCATTATGTAATGTCTAGAAGTATAATTGCTAAAATCTAGAGATTCCATCAGAGTCAACATTTCTGTGGTGTGTCCACCAGAACCTATACATATTAAAGTTTTAGCTGGCTTCATACGCTTTGGGTATATCTTTGTGTTTCCTGTGGTTATTTTGTGGATGAGGTAGAAGACTCTGACTAGAATTATGAGGAAGATTAAGATGCCAACTTCAATAAACAAAGTTCCTGAAAAATTCAATTATTAGCCATATGTATTAGATTCTCATGGCTTTAAATATAATTTACCCTCCATTGTAGGAATTTGGTCAACAATTACAAGTGGCTTAGATATGAAGTATGTCTCTATGTTTTATCAAACATTATAGTGCTAAAATAAAATTTTTGTGTAAAACACTTATTCCACTGAATGAAATTAAGAATAATTAATTACCAGAATAAACGTGGGTTCGTGTATTCTAATCCTTCTGCCAAATTTAATCACAACTTCAATCGGCAGTTGTATTGATAACCTCCAGACCATATTTTATACCAGTGCATACCAGTGGTTTCGAAACAAGAGTAAAGTTTTGTAATTGTTTATAAAAATTTAAGTGAATCCTGTAATGATTCATAATATTGAAGGAAGATTTATCTTAAATAATAGTGATAAGCTGACATATAAGAGTAATCATCAATAAGTTTGTACCTAGGATATTTAATTTTTTTATTGTAAATAACAGAATTTTAAGTTCACTGGTTCTGCCAAGTAAAATGTTAGGTTACAATAAGTTAGAATAACGTCTCTGTTTTGTTTTTGACGAGAAGTTAAAGTGTACATAAAACTAAGTAAATTAATTATGTAAATTCTGTTGTTTAATAAAAATGGCAAGTACTGGTAAAACATGGGATCGCAGTCAGCTTCGCAACTACGATTTACAACTAGAACAAATACCAAGACTAGAAAGTAATGATCCCAGAATTGATGAGTTCATCAGTGAAAATGTAATAATAATTTAATTTGAACAAAAGTTTCCATTGTTTGGTTATTTTCATATTGTTTTAGAAACCTGTTGTGATCACAGGCTCCAAACTGGTTGCCTCAGCAATGAAATGGGATTTGAACTACTTAGAAGAAAACATTGGCACCTCCGATTTTACTGTATTTCAGTCTAGTAATCATAAATTCAAGTACTATGATGAGAAGAAAATTCCAAAATTAAATGCTGAATTTATTCCTCCAACTACCAAGCTCTCTATGAAATTTTCAGAGTTTACTAAGTGCTTAACAGAAACTAAAGATTCTAATAGCAGGTGAGCTCAAAACCTAAATTAAAAAGTGCCAATGTTATATTCTTTATTCATATTTAGATTGTATTTACAAGAATGTCTTAACAACAACCTAGGAGCTGAAATAGTTAGAGACTTTTTAAACTTTGATTGGCAATTTTGCACCACTATCCAATCGAAGCACAGTTGGGGCCCTTTAACATCCAATCTGTTGCTTGTTGGCATGGAGGGTAATGTATCACCTTGTCATTATGATGAGCAGCAAAATTTGTTTGCTCAGGTGCTTGGCCACAAAAGGTGCATACTGTTTCCACCAGAGCAATTTGAGTGCTTGTATCCACATCCTGTCTTTCACCCACATGACCGACAAAGCATGGTTGATTTTGACAATCCAGATCATGTGCGATTTCCTAAATTCAAAGAATTGAAAGGATGGGAAACTGTGATAGGACCTGGCGAGGTTTTGTATATTCCTATTTACTGGTGGCACCATATTGAATCATTACTGGCTGGAGGACCTACAGTGACAATCAATTTTTGGTACAAGGTAAGTCTGTGTCTTGTTTTATTTAATTTATTATCTAAACTAGTAATTATAGGCAAAGCCAAATGGTTCAGTGACATATCCGTTAAAAGGACATCAAAAAGTGGCTATAATGCGCAATATCGAAAAAATGTTGGTTGACGTGTTGCAGGATCCAAATGATGTGTCACCATTGCTGCGTGCGATTGTCTTGGGTCGATACACGGAACACACATAAATTTTCGCGTTGTTGGCTTTTGTTTTGTTTTTATATCGGTATTTAATTGTGAAAGTTATCATAATAATCCTGTGATTGTAGAGCTTTTTATATGTATTTTAAAACGTGTTTGAAAACAGCTAGTGCGATTTTTACTCTGGTAACAAGTCATCGCCGATTTGTTCATCAGCGAAATCATCGAAATCAATTGGTTTGCCCGCACCAGTGCGTGGTCTAACCGGCATCGGGCCCAATGGATCGCTATAGGAGAAATCTGTAAAAATAACGTTATTGCGATTACTCTAATCAATAAACATTTATAAATTATAGTTACCGTGAGGTCCTGGGGCAAAACCAGAATCACCGCTGCCAGCACTATAGTGCATATTCAAAAGTTTCGAACTTCTTAACGATTTATGACCAGATCCAATAGGTGACATCACAGCATTTTCCGGAACAGACGCAAAGCCAGAACCAGCTCTGGATGATAATCCACTGTTTGAACGACGTGACCCGGGCCGACTGCTTCCGACACGTTCACGCACCTCGCGTGACTTTTCTATTTTCTTTAATTCGAGAGCATACTCTTGCGCCTCACGTAATCCCAAATCGCTACACAAGCGCACAAGGAATTGCAAGCATTCCACATTATCAGGAAACTGCTTGTGAATATCTTGATAAAGTGTTAAAGCCTTGTGTAAGTTACCACTGCGCCGGTGGCATCCTGCCACCATCATCATCCATTTTGGATTGTTCGGTTGCATAACGGCTGCCTTCTGAAAATACTTCAGAGCTTTTTCAACCACCTGCATTTCAATATAGTACGAGCCCAACCAGTCAATAACCGACAATGCGGCTGGGTAAAACCGGTACGACTAAAAAAATCTCCAAATTAGATATTTCATCACACCACAACAAAATTATTAAATACTAACGTCAATATGATAGTGATGTGCCTGTTGCTTATCACCATCGTGATCATACAATTCTCCAAGCTTCTGTAATACTTTAGCATCCGACGGTACAAGTCCCAAGAGTTGTTGAAAAGATTCAGCTGCAGCTTCGCTATCACCCAGTCGTTCTAAGAGACAACCTATTTGATAAGTCACTTCGGGTAACAAAGCTAAAGATCCAGTAAATTTCTGGAAACATTCGAGGGCTTCTTCATTATTTCCCTGCTGCTTCAACACCAAGCCCAGATTATACAATGCCTCAACACTGGATGGATCACAATCCAACGCATTCACAAAATAATTCCGAGCTTCTTCCAAGTTATTACGAGCCAGGGCACATGCGCCTAAATTAACAAATCCACCTGCGTTGTAGCCATCAGAATGTTTGACAATCTCACCATACTTCTCAGCATTATCATAATCCCCTTGCTAAATAAATCAATCAGAGAAAAAATGACAAATATACAAAATATACGTACTAAGTAGTATATAAAACTTAGATTGGTTGCAGCGCTTGTAGCAATATTAGATTCTTTATCAAAAGCTTTCAATGTATCAATCGCGTTATTCAGTTGCCCTTGTTTTAAGAACATTACAGCTTTGTTGATTTCCAATTCGCCTGCTAGGCGAGCATATTCTGAACTTTTAATTGTTTCAACACACCAATCATACCCTAAGAAGCAAATAAAAGCATTATTAAGTTTTATATTTTAAATTATGATAACATTTGGCTTACCAGCACTGAAAGTATCTTCTATCAACGGTGCGATGGTTTTTGCCGAAGTCAAAATACAGTATTCCGCATCCGTGCGCCTTTTCATTTCGTAAATGTGCAAATCATCATTACGAATCGACGAAGCAATTAGAATATCTTCCGGATTGTCTTGATCCGAACTGTATTTCTCTTCATCTTCCAATTCTAATGGTACGCCTAACAAAATGGCGAATGCACTGCGCATTCGTTCTTTATCTTCAAGCGCGCGACAACATAGAACCAAATGTAAACCGGCGCGATGATTAGGTTGTTCGCTCATAATATATTCCAAACTTGTTATAGCTTCTTCATACTGCGCCATTTTGATGAACACCATTGCAATATTATGCATAATCTTAATTCTTTTAAAAAATGAGTTAAATAGTGTATAATTGATTGTAATCGTTTTGAATACCTTAAATTTTTATGACTTGAAGGCACCTGATCTAAAGCCATGCGGTACATCTTGATAGCTTTGTGAAATTGTTCCTGTTTGAACAAAATATTTCCCATATTTACTTTTAGTCTATGCGCATTTGAAAACATGCGGTTTTTAGTGATCAATTGATAAGTATTTAAAGCTTCGGTGTATAATTCATTAACCGCGTACTGATTTGCCAAAGTGAAAAGAACTGAATAGGTAAGATCCATATTGTGATGTTCGCCGAGTCCTGCTTGCTCCTGCATACGTATTAGACTGCGCTCCTTGTTAGAAGCTTCCTTTGCTTTACTGAGAGCTTTTCGCGTGTTACCTTCAGCGTTCGCTACACATGATTCTTCTACGAGTTGCATAATTTTAAGTTCGGCAACTCGGACCTTTTCTTCAGGACTACAGAAAATTTAATTAGAGCGTAACTATAATATAAATTCGGAAACTTACGAATCATCTTTTAAAGTTTCCAATGCAGGTGTAACAGTAGCAGCTTGATTAAGTGGATCAAACATTTGTTTCTGGGATGTATACCCAGCTCCTCGAACCGCAGTCATTGGTCTGTTAACTCCTTCAGAACCTGTTGGTGGACGAAATTGCGTACCTGGACGAAATGCGGATCCAGGGATGACCATCGCAGTATTTTGTCGCTGAAACTAATGTCCGCAAAGTTTTACACCAAGGTTTTTCTTTAATCAAACATATTTTAACTACCCCAGTAGATGTTCCTAGTCTCATTGCGGATCCTGGTTTTGCGGTCCCTAGTTTTCTGCTTGGATCGGCAGTCATGAGAATTCTATTGAAACTTTCATCGTCTTTAACATTGGAGAGGTCGTAGAGCGGATGCGACTTTTTGAAGAGAGCCTGCATTTCTGCAGTCTCTTCGTCTGGCTCCACTACTTTTGGCATAGTTTTGGGATTTTATTGTTATTGCAAAATAGAGAAGAAATATTTTACTTTCTTTTAAAATATTCACGTTGTTACGACTCAATGGTGTACAATACAAACATTCAGAACAACCTAATCAGGTTTTTGTGACAATGTTCCTGACAGTCAATCATGTGTATTGATTAATAGAAGTCGATAATTTTTGATGTAATATGATGTTCTTTTCAGTTTAGCAACAATAGATCAAAAGTTGCATATAAAATTTAAATAATAAATATGAGTCGTAATACCTTTTATTCTTTTAATTAATTTATATGCAAAATATTAATTTATTGCACTTATTAATCTGCTAGAATATAAATAAAGAATTCAGAGGTTTTTCCCTTTCATCTTAGAGTTGAAGGGATTTACAATTTATATTTTAAATAATTTTAATTTTACATTTATATTCATTCGAGATTGCGCATTGAATAATTTGCGCAATACCTTAGATCACCTAAATTATCTTGCAGTCTGAAAAAACTTAAAATTTGTGTTTCTCATTGTAAGCATTAATTGCATCATTTATTAATTTTACACAATTTTCTTTTTTCACTTGGCGTTTTCATCGCAATAACTATATTTTCCAAGCAAGCATGATATATATGATCTTCAAATCATTACCTATCCTTGCTTGATCTTTATTCTCCTTGTCTGTCATCACCAATCAACACCATCATTCAACAATACTTCTTGTTGTTCTTTCACCAAGCATTATTGCAGCTGGTTATTTATCATTTAGTTTATAAAAATGTTGTTAATTAGCATCTAACTGTAAGACTGATTATAATCGAAGTGCAACCTGTGATTGAAAGTAAATAACAAGATATAGTGATTTGTGAAACTTCTTAATAAGTACTTAAAACCAATCAAAATGGCACTGGCCGTGGATTCTCCGACAGCAAGATTCAGCGATTTGTGCCGTTTGTGCGCCTCCAAAACAGGCTCAGCAGCTAAGGGACTTAACATATTTGCCAATGAAGCAAATTACCGACAAATATTCAAGAAGATTGAGGCTTGTTTACCTATACAAGTATGTTTATAGTGAGGTTATATCAAATCATTTTAATTACAAAACTATTGTAGTACACTAAAGGTAAATAAGGTAAATTTAAAGACATAAATTTCTTCTAGATTTCAGAGACGGATGTTTTACCAAAAATAGTTTGTGAAAATTGTTTATTCAAAGTGGAATTACTATTTGACTTCAGAGAGAGGGCATTAAGAACTGAAGGTGTATTAATTGAATTATTCAAGGAATTACACTCTCTTCCAATTCAAATACTTAATGGAACTCATCATACACAAGTGAAATTTGATGCAGCATTGGATCATGTAATCTCACAACAAAATGGACTCTTAAATGATGGTTTATCACATGTAAATGATATTGAACTGCCACAACTTTCACATAGAGACAGCATGATAATATTAGCTCAACACAGTGTACCTTTAGATCAATTGAGTCAACATGATATTAATCAAGAACTTTCCAATCATAGCATTGACACATCTGAAAGTATATTGGGTGGAGCAAATGGTTATAACACAATGGATTATCACCATACATCAATACTGCATGATGAAATTAATTTGTCACATGCAAGTATGCATCAAATCAAGGCTATTGTGGACCATGACAACTATCCACCCATTGGCACCAGTGGGGTGCAAAGGCTAATGATGAATGAAGCACATTTCATGCATGATCATTTAAATGAGGAGGAAAATTTTGACTCTTTGAATTCATACATATTTTGTACAACTTGTGGCAAGTCATTTGATGATAAGATTTTATTGCAACAACACTATGAGGAGCACTATTCTAATATGACGCACGAGAAGGAAGTGGAAGTTACGCGTAGAAAAGATATGCATGGAACATGTTCTACTGCAGTTGAGAATGAAGTAATGACAAATGAAGTGAGTGAATCGTTTCATTAGGTTGTGTTCTCTTTAGTAAGATTCAAATTGTTTTTATAGGTGAGGGAACCTGAGGTACAGGAGAATCAAAAACAACAAGAAAATGCTGAACCATTAATATTGAGCATACCACCTGACGATGACGTGATTTCTGTTAACTTAGATCTTGTTGATGCAGATGAAAACTTAAAATCAGAATATAGTGACGCCGATAGCGAGGTTGCAACAGATAAAAATAAGCCAGCCGATATTCCACAAATACCAGAAAATCACAAAGAAACCGAAGAAGTGCAACAACATCCCCAAGAAGAGGAAGATCAGGATACGTCTAAGGAGGATTCAAATGCCGCCAAGAAAAATAAATCTAAAGTTTGCAATGTATGTGGAAAACAGTATAAAACTAATTACAAACTGGCAGAACACATGAGGAAACACACTGGTGAACAGCCTTACAAATGTAACAGTTGTGATAAAGCATTTAGATCAAAAATTGGATACACGCAACATATAGCTACACACACAGGCAAGTTAAATTTTTTTTTTATTATTTGTTCAGTTAATTTTTATTTTTATTGATTTTTCTAGGTAAATTTGAATTTTCATGTACAACATGTGGTAAAGGTTTCCAATGTAAAAGTTATCTTATGGTGCACCAAAGAGTACACTCCGACGTTAAACCATATCAATGCACAACATGTGATAGAAGTTTCAAGAGCAAACAATCATTGCTGGACCACACGAATCGCCATTTGGGTGTCAAACCATACGCGTGCGACATTTGCCGGCGGAGTTTCATCACGAAAGGATTACTCAAAGCGCATCAAAGTGTACACGCAGGCACCGATAATCGCAAGTACGCTTGTCCATTGTGCGACAAAATGTTTGTCAGCAAGAGTTATCTACAGACTCACGCACACTCACATACTGGCGAAAAGCCCTACAAATGTGAGGTGTGCGGTAAGGGATTTATGGCGCGTGTCGATTTGAAAATTCACTCAACGATACACACGGGCGAGAAGTCATACGTGTGCGAAATATGCGGCAAAGCATTTGCACGCAGGGATGCACTCAGGTGCCATCGACGTTCACATACTGGCGAGAGACCTTACAAGTGTGTAGTTATTTTTATATTTGTTTTGTTATGAAATTAATGAATCTTTTTAAGGTGTGATATTTGTGGACAGACGTTCACTCAGTTTTCACCCATGGTAATTCACAAACGGTTGCACACTGGCGAGAGGCCTTACCAATGCGAACTGTGCACAGATAGGTTTGTTTCTAGATCGACGATGATGGTTCATTTGAAAAAGCATCCAAAATTTGCAAAGGGTGAAGTGAGCAGTGATGTAAATAATGAACTTAAAAATGAGATTAAGGCCACATAATACTTTTTGAACTTGTTTGCATTATACATTATATATCGACATTTTCCCCTCAAGACTGCTGCTATTTAAACATTCATAAGTGATATAAATTAATAAACTTTAATATGTTTATACATTCAATTCATGAAATGTAGAATTAGTAAATAGTAACCAATTTACAATTTCATTATTGATATGACCAGAAATGAGCGTCTTTTACAAGATTTTTGTTTATTTCTTTGCAAGAGTGGCTCAATGTTTTACATGGTAACCATGACAACATTTCACATTAGGTAGCAACGCACGTCATTATTTACTGCGCCAATCATCTCTAGTCATCTATAAACATCTAAATTCATCCATACTATGGTTGTCTTTGTATTTGCTCTCGTGTAAATCGTATATTTCGTAATTACTCAGTGAACAAAAGTAATGACGATCCCAAACAGTTCAAAGTGAATTGTAATTGTCGAGTGAGTATTAATCTGCGCATGCGCAATGACAATGCAAATGTAGTTACCAGCTGCAAGTGACGTTTCTCTCATAATTGACAGAAGTAGTCACGCTCGTAATCTTCTCGGCAGTATTTACGCCATAAAGATAAGTAATTCGACTGAATTACTGTTCATACGAAAATGGAAGTTAACAAAGATGAGGCGGATCGCTGCATTGAATTAGCCGAGAATTACATCAAAGAGAAGAACCGTGAAAAAGCCGAGAAGTTTCTTCAGAAGGCGCAGCGTTTGTATCCGACTCCGAGAGCCAAAGGTGGTTATTTCCTGCATATATTTTTAACTTGTGACGACTTCATATGACGCGCGTGTACAGATTTGTTGCAGAAAATCCAACTAATTGCACCAGCTAGTGAGCCGGAAAAGAAGAAAGAAAAACCTCAGGCCAAACCTGAGAAACCCTCCGCCCCTGAGTTCTCAGCGGATCAACGTGATGCAGTAACGCGTATTAAGAAGTGCAAGGATTATTATGAAATTTTGGGTGTCAGTAAAGATGCTACAGACTCAGATATCAAGAAGGCATACAAAAAGTTGGCCCTGCAGCTACATCCAGACAAGAATAAAGCTCCAGGCTCTGCAGAGGCTTTCAAAGCAATTGGTAATGCAGTGGCTGTGCTGACTGATGCAGAAAAGAGGAAACAGTATGATATGTTTGGTTCTGATGAGGACAGGATGCAGCGGCAGGCGAATCGGAGTAATATGTTTTCGTATACACGCGGGTTTGAGGCTGATGCCACTCCGGATGAGCTCTTTAATATGTTCTTTGGTGGTAATTCTAATATTTACGTTAGACGCACGGGCAGATTCCAGAGACACACCAATAACTCTGAGGGGCACGCGTCACATCGAGAAGTAAGCGACGTTACTCGTGTTTTATCTCAAATAATGTATTATAATTGTATTTTCAGCATAATCAGTCCAACTACACCATGCTGTTTCAAATCATGCCTATCTTGTTTGCCATTCTACTTTCGATGGCATCAAGTATTTTTATTTCTGATCCAGCATATAGCCTTCAGCAGTCTGTGTAAGTATAAACTAGCATACGCCGTTTGCAATAATATAAAGTGTGTCTTGGGCAGCAAAAATTGGTTTTGAAGCCGGAAAATGGACCAAGATAATGCATAATCTATCAATTTGTTAATTGCGAATCATTTTGTGTTGTTGGCATCATATTCTCAGTGATACTGAGTATTATAGCCAGAAAAAAAAACGTTTTCATTTTGCGGTCTGCCGAGGGTGAAAACTGGTTTTCGGCACCCGTTGCACCGATTATAATTTCATCTCGTAGGTTGCCATGTAAACTGATGAACAAACGCATGACTTTCTTTGTTACAGGAAATACCCAATTGTTCGTAAAACGCATAATCTTGGCGTCGAGTATTTTGTAAAAGAAACGTTCCATTCCGATTATCAAGGTTCAGTGCGACGCTTGGAGGTATCCATAGAAGAAGAATACATGACAAATCTACGACATGCTTGCTACCGAGAGAAAAACTATCGTAAGTGTTTTGAACTGGGATATATCACACTAACAACCTCCTTATTATTTTATCCAACTATTCTACTATCAAGTCTATTTTTATTTTTATGGTTTACATTATATTTACGCCCCATGAATTTTATGCACCCACATATTTGGTGTAGACTGTGTTAATAAACGTAATTTTTGTTGATGTTGTATTGCATTTGTTATAGGCGATTCTATGATATGGAAAGCGAAGAACTTTGGAGATCGCGAACTGTTCATGAATGCACAGAACATCAAATTACCGTCGTGTGATCGAATACAGGAGTTGAGAAATCGCGGTTAACCAATTCATTTACTGCACTTAGTGGAATGAAAACAAAAATACAGTTTAATTCATATTATGTATTGATTGGTCGATTTTGTGGTGGTGTTTTTATAATTTCTATGTTTTTATGATAGTTGGCACATAGGGATGTATGGAATTTGCAGCTCAGAAATATTTATTTCGTAACTTGTATAGTTGTTATCAATTAGTTAAAAAAATCTCACGCTAGTCTTTCACAACCGAGTTTTAGGCTAAGGTTCGGACAATTTTCATACCTAGCATGCTAGTTAGAATATCAATGAACTATACTATATAAGTAATTTTAAAATAATAACAAGCGCTCTGTAATGTGTTTGCTTGTGGAACCTATGTTTCCACAAAGTTTGTCACTTTTTAGTACCTATGGCAGCAGTGCACTATTTATATTATGAAGAATTAATTTCTAAACTAAGCATTGTCCATTTGAGGTGATGTCAGCTTGTTTTTATGATATAAAGTACAGTTAATGAGTGAATCGGGTGGAAGTTAAGGTTGTAAAGTTGTTTTTAGAACTTAAAACAATTTGAAGAACCACAAATCTAGTCTAGGTTTACATTTTCTCTATTTGGAATATATGAAAGGCATGCGTGTGCGAGTCGGGGCATGCTTGGATTGTTAACTGTTATTTGGACCTTTCAATGCATTGTTGTAACTGAACTTTGATAGGGAATTTTGTGGTATTGAGTGAAATTGATTATTAATTCCAACCGGAATGATTATAATTGAATAAATTATGTATCCACCAAAAGGTATTCAATGCAAGCTTACGTTTTCGTGTAAACCACCACAGGAGGTACAGAAGCTACAGATTTAAAATGTATGGTTCTATCTAACAACTTCATATGCACATAGATATTGATTTGAGGATATGTTCATGAGTTCTCGCGTTATCTCAACAAATTTTCCTAATCTTTCTAATCAGTGAATCTGTCATATTCCTACATAGATAACAAAATTTGAATTCGCAGTAATTTTAAAATATGAATATGCATAGGCCGCGCAATTTGAAAAGAGAAACAACCCAACATCCCTATCATGTTTTGTAGTATCCTTGACGGAAGGTCAACTCAGTGAACAATTTGCGTGTCAACTGTACTCGGTTTTTAAGCGATATAGTTTGTTCCTCATTTAAACCGTAGCAGGACTTTGCTACAACTAACTTGGAATTGTTGTGTATGGAGTTTAGTTGTTGCCAGGAAATTTAATAATAGCAGGTAAAAGTTGTCAGGGATAATAACCTTACATTCATTTACACCACTGATTTGTGTATTTTCATAATCTCGTAAAATAGTAAAATTAAATTAGTGGTTGTCGAAGAAAACCGGTAAAATGAAATTCCTTGAATATTTGCGGTTGATGAAAGAAAAAATTGTAAGTAAAATATAATTTTGTATGATTTGTCAGATAATTCAAGTGGTTTCTTGTTTATCCTGCAGACTTTGATTAAACCAGGACAATTAGTTCATCTTGTAATAGGTAATGAAAGTTGTGATCTTGATTCCATGGTGTCATCAATGGTCTTGGCATTTCACTACACTTGTTTGGAGAAATATCAAAATACAATAGTACTTCCAATGATGAACAAAACTGAACAATTATTCCCTGTAAAAGTTGAAAATATCTACTTATTAGATAAGTATAACATCTCCATGGATTTTCTTATATACAGGTAAAGATTGAATTTAAAATATTATATGTTTTATTCATACTGTACTATTAATATCTTCCAGGGATACAATCAATCTTGAGACTATGCAGCAGGAATGCAAAATGACTGTTTCACTGATTGATCATCATGTACTGCCAGAAGATCTCAAATTTTTAAAGAGATCTGTTGTAGAAGTAATCGACCATCGTCCAGTAGATACTACTGAAGAATGGTCAGATAATGTACACATAGATATACAACTGGTTGGTTCTTGTTGCACTTTAATATCTTCACATATCAATAATCATTCTGTGTCACAAATTGCTCTTGAAATGCTCTATGGTAAATAATATTTTGTGGAATATGGAACTATTTGAATCATATTTAATTTATAAAACATTCTAGACGTGATAACATACGATACAATTGGATATCGCGAGGATGCCGGAAAAGTAAAACCAATGGACCTGCAAGTTGCAGAAGTCCTAGAGAAAAAACTCTCCATTGATCCGGTGGTAAACCGATTGCAACGATTCGAAGATATTAACGACGCCCATAGAAATATATCCATGTTGACAACGGAACAACTTCTCTATAAAGATTTGAAAATTGTGGGTAAGATTTATGTTCCAGGTCTGCCAATGCTAGCACAGAGATTTATACAAAGAACTGACATAACAGAAGCGCTTGCAAAATTTAGTCGTGATAATAGTGCTGAAGTAATTATAATAATGGGATTAGAAGTAGATGATGGTCATGTATGCCGGGACTTAGCTCTTTATACGAAGATGCAAGAGGAAGCCGTCACTATTGAGTCGATGTTAGTCACACGTTTTGAGGTGAATAAGATCCCCGATAAAAGTACTGACGATATTAAATACTACACACAGAATAATCCAAAGTTAAGTCGGAAACAATTAATACCATTACTGAAATCGCTAGACGTGGAACATGTATAACTTCAGTTCCAGTGTATATATTGTTTTAAAGTAAATCAAATTTAATTAAAATAACAATTTATATCGTTTGATGATAAGGCGCAGGTGTTGGCACATTCATCAACGGCGAATTCACATCAATATCCATATCCGGGGGTGATTCTTCTTGCTGTTGTGAATTTATCTTTTCTTGTAAGGATTGATACAGCACATGCACCTTCTCGCCATGCTGATGTGTGGGTTGCAGCGCTTTGATAAGCGTTTGAGTGCGGTTCGATGGCAACTTGGGATGAATATACCACAACAACTTTAACAAGTGCCTTGTTACGTTGTCTCTCTGTAATCCAGCGAAGAAAAACTCGTCGAATAGTCCGGTGCAGAACGCAGGCGCAATGAATTCCTCAGGCATGTGTATCAACAGGTGGACAAGCGAGTGCAAGAATGGATCTTCAAACGCGCGATCCTCTTTGCAGTTTGCAAGAATAGTAAGAATACGAAGTAAACCAACTTTATCTTTAAGTCTAGCTACGTGAATTGTGTAATACATTGCGAGAATACTTGCGACTGGGCTTTCCTGGATATAAGCCTCGACTGCGTCGGGAACTGATCCTGTGTGTTCGATCAGAGTAATGGCTGCTTCGCGTTCATCATGTGGTAATTTCGATGATAATGAACGCACTTGATCATCGACAATTAAAGACATCAACGCCGGCATGAATTTCGTCACGATTTGACTGTCTAACTTCGGCTCTTTGAAATCCTGCGAGTCTATCATTACCCAGGCGGATAATCCGAGCGCCAACATGCGTAGCAGTAAAATCAAAATTTGATTTTCCCTTGGTAAGCCATCGTTGTTTATCAATACGTGAAGAATTTTAATCGCCGAAGTTGCAAGGAAGTTTATAGCATAAGGATCACAGAGTGTCATTGACAAATCGCCTAAAACTTGCTCTTGACCACGTTTCACATTATCTAGAAAACCCTGCAGTTCTCGGGAACGTTTGATATCAACGTTTTTCTCGCGGATGCATGCGTCTAAGCACCACGTGAATTTATGACAGGGATCTACGGAAATAATGTCCTGCACTTCTAGGTCATGCAAAGCCATCAATAGCTCCGCTCGAAGGGTGCAGTAATGAACATTTCTAGTTCGTAAAAATAATGTGCGCAAAAATTGCAACACCATATCGTAGAGTTTGACGCTGTTTCCTATCATGTGCGCTAGTTTTTGGACCACGTCTCCCTGTCGACGTACTTTAGGCGATGGTCCGAAGAACTGAGTTGTGTTATTCTGATGGTCGAATAGAATGTTTTCTTTTTCGGAAATATACTGACTTAAAAGTGGGGAGACTTCATCACCAAATAGTGATTGATTGTCTTTCCATATCTGACGCTTGACTTCCGTGTCTGTGTCTTCGTAAAGTTCTCGATCCCGAACTAATACTTTTAAGTATTTGTCTTCAATTGTCGGAATATTTCGTAGAATACACATTACGATAGGACGGAGTGATTTTACTTTCACGACAGGGAAACTTTTTATTAACAATTCGTTGAGTTTCTTGTCGCGTTCTGGACCAGTTTTTGCACCGATTTCGTTTATGTGTGTGATTAGTTTTTCGCGCAGTTCTTCAACGACAGATGTGTGAAAATCTAATCGCCGGACTCCGTGTAGATCCAGTAAAGGAAGCATGGGGCGTAGGGATGGCAAAAGAATTCCGTTTGTTAACTAAAATAGTATAAATAACAGTTTCAATATAACAAAATTACAAAAAGGGATGATTGTTGATAGTTTGAATGTTTACCACTAGAAAGTAGTGTTTTTGAAAAATAGAGTAAATTTTTATGCAATTTTAAGCATGAAACAATTTGAACACACATTAATTTAATTATTTAACTTTAAGACTTAATTAATATTGTAAAGAATTTGGTGTAAACTTACTTGAAATTGTTCAATTGCCTTCATAGGATCAGTACAACTTAAAAGGGCATTTTTAAGATAAGTTGGTCCATGCACGTTGACCGCCTCCAGCGGAAAATCAGGTTTTGAAGAAGACATTATTAAAAGCACTTAATTAACTTGTTATTCGCTATAATAATAAGTTTAAAAACAATTGCCTCAGTTTGTCAACAAAACGATTGAGGTTACATCCGAATATTGGACACAGTTACTGTATAACGGGTAACATACATCTAATAAGCTGCATCTTTGACGTTGCCAATGTTGCCATTTGAAATACAAATGTAATTTGTCTGAAAGCGTAAATTTGTAAATCTTAAAAATAGCTTCTACCCACGAATTTAAAATTCAAATTTACCGACCACGTCTCTTGATAAAAATATTGATATTTAGTTTTGTTATGTTGAATTAATAACAAGTGCGCAAGTGAGTGAAGATGCACTTCAATGTCTCATAAAAAGAAAGTTTGATGGAATCTTGACTGTATGTTATGTACTGCAAGTTGTGTTTAACCCGTTTTAAAAGGCATACTTTTGATTGGTTGTTAATAAAAGTGGTACAGTTTACGACTCACTATACTTGTGGACTTATTTGAAGCGTTACTTATTAGAAGGATTAGAAACATAAATATACAAATAAGCTACCACAAAATATTTGCTTTTAAACAAAACATTCATTTTCAATGCAATTCTTTTGTTGCTATTTAATATAATGTTTAGTAAATATAACGCGTAATTTTGTAAATATTATATCAATATATTGTTCAATCATAATGCAAGTTTGGCATTTGCTTGTACCGCTGATCGTGCTTGCTGGCAAAAGAGACGAGCGCAAGTCGCGCAAGTGCGAGCAGTGGATTTGTGCCGTTCGTGCTCGGTTTTCGCTCTCGGTTTAACTTCCGCTTGCAAAGGCGACGCGATGATTGCGCACGGGCACGAAGAGTGGCATTTGGGGGGTTAGCGCGGTAGCGTTGCGTGCGTGAGCCGAGCGTTGCTTGTATACAAATAAATCAGGAACGCAGTTTGGCACAAACGGTCGACGGCCGCAGCTCGTCCGAACGTACCGCGACGATCGCCCATCTCGACGCGAAGCCGAGTGTCCGCTGGCGTCCCTTCGGCTGAGGGCGATGGGTTGAAAGTGAATTGCTCGGCGCGATTAGTGAATTTCGACTGCAGAATTGCGTTCGTGCGCCGAATATGAAACGCTCCCGATGGGGAAATGCCATTCTTGTAGGCGCTATTTTGACAGGCACCGATTTGTATCGTTCGCTTAATAACAAAACGCGATGCGTTTGCCACTCGATATGAATAATTGTGGAGCCGTGCGCCGAGAGTAATGTATGGAAATTCAATTTGTATAGTAATTATGGAGCTAAACATGATTTGAAGAAGTCACTTGTGTATTGATTACAGTCTAGGTTATGTTTCCAACTTTCATTAGCATCCTAGGTGTGTTTATTGTTGACTAGCGTTAATTATTCTTTTCATATATACATATCTCAAGTACGCCTCCTTTAAGACACGTTCTGTAATAACGATGTAATGTCCTCATTAAGTGCGATTTTGTAGATATACAGTCATGGTGGGAGGTCCCAAGTATTGCTCACTTCTGCTCCTTGTTTCGTACCGCTTTTAAACTGCTTGATTTTGATATTGAAGTATGTACTTTAAAGAAGTTCTGAGGACTTTTATAATGTTCTAATTTTTGCTGTTTTGTTTTAGGACTTAGAAGAGGCTTTGTTGACTGATGGCACTGAAGAACCATCATGGTTGCAGGAACTTATTGTTTTGTTGCTAAAAGGTTGTCTGCATGAACATGACATCTCTCTTTTCAATTATCAGATGTTCTTGCGGCGACTATTCAGGAAGAAATGCGAAGAATACGATATTTTGAATCCGTTCAATACAGACATTGATTTCGAATTGCTGCCATTGCGTGTCAAAGTTGAGATTCTTTATAATTTGTGTGAATTTCGTTTGGACGCACCTGACGTACTCGACGAGCTTAAGAACTTGGAGGCGGATAGTCTTAGAGTAGAACCGATCGGTTACGATGGTAAGAAATCAGCCTATTGGTACTTCTATGGGACCAGACTCTACAGGGAAGACTTTCCCAAGTCAGAGAAACCAATTTGGCAGGTCGTTTGCTTTACTATAACAGATTGGTCGCAATTGGCTAGGAAACTCGAAGACACTAAGTGCAAGGCTGAGCAATCTTTATATAAAACTTTGAAGAAGAATTTTATACCGGAACTGCCGCGTTTATTTCTTGAAAAGGAGACCATAGCACGTAAACGCTTACTTGAAGCAAAACGTTCCACAAAGGTGGGTAAAGTTTAAATTAATCGATTATTTATTAATGGATGAAAATATTTGAACTCTAATTTTTACAGGAAGAAAGTTTCTTGATACGTGAAGATTATTACACGGATCTAATCAGGAAGGATATAAAGCGTCACGAAATAAGTAGGCGGTTTGAACGAAAATCTCCTGAACTATTTGACGACAACTCTGAAAGTCGGTATGAAATGGGCAAATCTAAGGATAAGAAACACAAGCAAAAAGATGGGGCCGAAGGTAAATTAACGACAAAAATATTTATTTAAAAACAATAATGTTTCTAATTTGACTATTTACATAGAACGTACGCTGCCGTCCCCAACAAAATCCAAAGATGCCAAACCGGTCGGCCGACAAACGAACAATTCGTTGGCGTCGGCGACTGGGCAAATACTTATTGAGCCGGTTTCAAATCCGACCAAAAAGAAAATGAAAACTTCTCAAGTGTAAGTATTCAAATTTATTCTGCGGATTTGTTATTATTGTTAGGAATACAGTTTTAGCCAATCTGAGGAGGATTTACAAGTTGGATTGCATAAAATACTTGATGCAGTCAAAGACCATGAGGATGCCTGGCCTTTTGTAAATCCTGTCGAAGAGGAATATGCGCCTAATTATTATTCCATCATTCGCAAACCCATGGATTTGCAGAAGATGGAAGAACGACTGGAAAACGGGCATTACAAAACTTTCTCAAAGTTTAGGACCGATTTTCAACTAATTGTCAATAATTGTAAACTTTACAATGGGGTTGAGAACGGTAAAGTATTACTTATTTATTTTTTATTTTTAGTGGGTTATGTTTATGGAATTGTGCTTATTTCAATATATTGATATGTTGTTTCAGAATACTCTGAAATGGTTGACACTGTATTAGAATTCTTCAATCGCTCGGTAGAAAGATACCTGGACCAAATAACGTCGTCTGATGACGAAATTGCTGTTGAATTTCCCAATTCCGATAAAAATAAGAAGAAGAAGCATCCAGAAGTTATCCCAAAGAAGAAGCCTGTTAGTCCTGAGCAGAAAAAAGCAAAAACGAAATCTAGGGATATTGAAGAAGATGTAAAAATACATAAAAAGAAGAAGGACAAGGATAAAGAAGAAAAGAAGGAAAAAGAAAGGGATAGGGAGGATAAAAAGGATAAGGAAAAGGACAGGAAAGACAAAATAAAGGCTGATAAAAAAGACAAAGAAAAGGAAAAGGAGAACAAACGAGTGAAAGAAGAGTACCGAGAAATTATGAGTCCCAAAAAGGCGAAGAAACGAAAATCTGATGTGTTGGAAGACCATAAAAGCAAACGGGATGAGAGAGAGGCTAAAATTCGAAAACAGGAAGTAGTTAAAGATACTAAAAATAGAAACAAAGTTGACGATAAATACAAAAAGGTCGACAAAGAAAAGGATAAGATTAAATCCAAAAAATCAAAGGAAATTGAATCAAAAACTAGCAAAAAAGGTTATTCACCGCATAGCCCTAAAAAACACAAATCTAGAAAAAACGATAGCAGAGAATCAAATCTGAAAAATAAGCCTACAAAGAAATCATTCAAAAAGGGAAAACATTCGGTAGGACGAAGCCAGAGTCGAAGTCGTAGCCGTAGCTTCAGTGGGAGCAGAAGCGGGAGTGGAAGTAGAAGCCGCAGTCGAAGCTTTAGTCGAAGTCGTAGTTCACTGTTTGACCGGTGGAGTAGTAGCCCGCCGCCCTCTTCAATACCGTCAAGCCCTGAAATGGTACGAAAAGTTTCACCATCCAAACATAAAAAGTCTTCACCGCACGATGAAGTAAAAGACAAATTAAAATCTAAGCAGGACAAATGGAAAGACCTCTTTAAAGACGATAAAGCGAATATTGGGAAAAATGATCCTATCAAACCAAAAGACAAGCATCACACACTTAGCGAAACGATTGAAAAATTAAAGGCTAAGAGTGATCTCACCAAACTAAAGGTTGTGGAGAAAGAAAAAAGTATGAAAATTTACGACTTCCCTAGTGAGCCAAAGGAAGTCCGACCGGATTCTAAAAAGGATGCAGCAGTCAAGGCGGGTAAGAAGAAGGAAACGGTTGTGAATAAAAAGAAAAAGTTAGCCAAAGATCTATTCGAGGATGACAATAGCACCGCAGATAGTGTACAATCGGAAAAGAAAGTTAAAAACAAAAAGGCAGCAAACTGCACCAACAATTCTAAAAAGTATGATGCTCTTTCTCTGGCAACCGAACAAACACTTAAGGATATCAACAAGTGGTTAGACGACACGCCAAAGGAATTTAGCTCGGCGACAAATTCCCCCTCGGCCTTTTCAAGTATAGACGAGTTTGATAACAACACAAACAAATCGTCCGACTTGGAAAAGAAAAAATCCGATGTTCCATCGTCGATTCGTAAGGAGACTGGTGCTAATGAGGCACCGGTACATTCGAATAATGGCAATTCAAATAGCAGCTTGTCGAATACCAATGCAAACGCGAAGAAGCGACCGATGAATAGGGACCCAACGAAGATGTTCCGACGAAAAGAAGTGCAACGAACAATTGAACGCTTGCAACCAGGCAAAAGCAAAGGTAATCTTATAACAAATGTGCAAAATAAAGATTCGAAGCAGGAGGAAGTTTTTCCTCTCGGACCACTTTCAAAAATAAAAGACACTAAAAATTCGTTAATAGTGAAAACAGACGACAGTGCGCCTAAGTTAAGTCTCGGTTCGGTGTTGGACAGTTTCGGTAAACACAAATTTATCGACGACGATGTCAATAAGGACAATGAAGGTGAGTCGGATAAAAAGTCAGAAGATAAGGTGCCGTTAGACGAAAACAAAGATGATGTTAAATGTGAGGAGGTTAAAGCAGACTCGCCCAAGTTAGACAATAGTCCGGGGACCGCAACCCCCAATCTAAGTGCCTGGTTCAAAGCGTTCGGCGGACCCAAAGTGCAATCTGCAACGAAGAAATCGGACGCGAAAGAGGAAAAGACGGTGTCCATTGATACCACGATGGAGAACAAGAAAGAAGAAACACGCAAAGTTGTTGTTCTGCCGGATCCGTCGCCAAATCCAGACAGCCCATTGATGAACGAGCAGCCGGCACCTCGCCAGCGTAAAGTTAGCACGGGCAGCAGCATGTCGGAGCGATCGTCTTTCTCACAGGACATGGACTCGCCGCGTGTGGGGATCGACGAGCGCATTAGTGCGTATCCCGCGCCGTATCCGTCGCCGCTGCATAAATCACCAGTAGCGTCTCCTAGTTTGAGGTCGCCTCTGCCCGATGCGTCGCCTAAATCGACGGCTTATTCATTCAATGGACAAATTCGTGTCGGTTTCTATCAGGACACTGTGTCTACCAAAAGTAGCCCAGACAAGTCGTGTAGTCCGCGTGATAATCCGCAATCGCCTTACCCACAATACTCGGAGCACGTGTATACGCCACCGACAACGCAGAACGCCAATTATTCGTACAACAATCCGTACTATCAACCGAGTAGTAATTATTCGTCAAGCAATCCGACGCCGCCTTACAACGCCGAGTCCAGCGCACCTTCCTATTACGACACCACTAAGCCTTTAACGGACCAATATCAAGCTAAGAATCCGAATTCACCTGTGGCGCCGCAGTCACAACAACCATCGCCCCTAATGAGTCAACAGGTATCGCCAAATGTACAGAGTCAACCGTCGCCGATTGATATGCAGCAGCACTATCAGCAGCCTCATTCGCCGGCGGTTAATCAACAAGTGCAGGATGCGTACGCGCGGCAAACTCAAACACGATCACCAATGGAACCACAACAACCATCTCCACAACAAATGCAACAATTGTCACCCCAACAACCACTTCAACAGCCGCAGCAACAAACGCATTCTGTTGTGCAACAATCGCATCAACAGCAAGTAGCCCCAGCTCAGCAAGATAAATTCATGTACGGTTCTCAACAATTACAGCCCACTCAAACGCCACCTCAACAGATACCACAATTGGATGCAACGGCTGCATACAGAAGTGCATTGGATTACGGTCGGCAACAACCTCCACCGAACGTTGAACCTTTCAGGACGAATGAACCTAAATTACAACAAACTAGCAACTCTTATCCCGTGAAGAAACGTGCCTACAATGAAATCGAACAGACAACGCAGAGGACTTATGAGGAAACTCACAACGCCCAAAATTATCCTTCTCGAGACCCTCCAAAGTATATTCATCAAAACATACCCGAGCCAAGATTATCGTCACAAGTTCACGCCACACAACAGATCCCGCAACAAATCCCACAACAACAGAATGCCTTGAATCAATTTACGCCTTCTTCGTACAATTATCCTCCCGAATCTGGACACCAGTATCCACCACTTAATATACCATCTGCTGGTAGAAGCACGTTAAACCCCATGGGGTCGCTTGATGAGTCTCGCAAAATTGACATGTCCAAATACACCAACATGGGCTACACTGGCCCAGATATTAACTTACATTTGCAACGAACACATCACTATAAACAACCAACGGCAGCTGCTCCCAGTCAAGCGGATTCTTTACAACAGCAGCAACAACGCTATCGGGACACGAATGTTTTGAATATGAATAATTATAAAGCACCAGCGGGGGCTGGCCTCGCTGCCCAGGGTGCTCAAACACAAGGTAATGAACCGGCGAATAGTTTCAAAGCAGATGTGGGAATATCACGACCTACGTACCACGGGACTTCGGGCCAACTAGAAATGGATCAGTCGTTATCGCTCAGAGGTTTGACTCATATCGTCGATCGTTACCCGAACGAGGAGAGTCGAATGTTGGGATTGCAAGGCAATCCACCGCCCTCATACTATTCGGATAAGAACCTATCGTCGCAGCACATGTTTGCTGGGAAAGCTATTGCAACTAGCGCTTCCACTCTGCCAATGTTTTCGCAATCTAGCACGATGTCTCCCTACGGGATGCAGACTCATCCCAATATGTACCAACGACAGATGACGGACTTACAAGTGCCGATGTCACAAAGTCAGCCTGCGCTTCAGCAACCTCAGCAGCAACAAGCACCCGTTCAACAGACTCCGGCTGCTCCGGAGCCCAAGCCGAAGAAGAAGCGAATGACCAAAGCAGCTAAAGCCGCCGCGGCCGCTGCCGCAGCTGCACAAGCTGCACAACAACAACAAACTAGTAAGTTGTCTTTGTATTTAAATGGACTAGTTGTATTTTTACTTTTATTCTTATTGGTATAGGTAACCCACCAGCGACTAACGAACCAACACCAGCCGCGGGACAAGGCTTCCAATCATACGCAGGCTTAAAAACCTCCACTTCGTCAATGGAACCGAGTGCCATTTCTTTAAAAACTGCGAGCGTCGTCCCCGGCAGTGCGTTCAACTTCGGCTCTAGCACCACAGGTCTTTCCTTACCACCGGGTTTATACGGCGACAAAGATGCGTATCCGAATTTCCTCGAAGATTTCCGCTCGACGCCATCAAACTACTACATGGCCGCAGCAGCAGCGGCGCACCATCGTTCCACGCCGGAAAACCCAGAGAAAACTACTTCTGGTCGTGTCCCTGCTCATCAATCTAGCAATCCTTCATCCGTGTCGGGTTCATCGCCGGCCGCGTATCCGTTTATCGGTGCTCCCCAAGCGCGACCCCCCAGTTATCCGCTACCAGGCGTGCCCGGTCCCTTTATGCCGCCACATCAAGCGCCGCTTATGGACACTAGTTCACCGCAATACTTGCAGTATTTACAGGCGGGCGTCTTGCATCAAGGACTGTTACCACCGGGCGCGTACGCCGCACCGGGTTATCACCCTGCGTTGAGCATTAGGCAACAGTATGACTCCATGACCAGGCCGCCATGGCTTTAAAATTAGACGTATTAACAGAACATGTATTGTATGATCACTCGAAACCAAAGACACTGTCTACATGTGTAATGTTTTTTATTGTTTAATGTATACTTAACTAGTACGTTTAAATTGAGTGCGATCAGTGTAAACCAGTGACAATTATACAGTGAGAATATCGCGCTACAAGAAATGTCTTAAAATGATTTGTGGTAACCATATAATTAAGGACATCCAATTAATTACTGGGTGTTTAGTTATAGATTGTACATAGCTTCCTTCGCGTACTTTCTAATGACGAGCATATCCGAAGCAATTCGCTAAAGTAATTTAAATTGAATATAACGAGTGACATCTAAGCACTAGAATTTATCATGTTAATTGTGTTTGTTGTTGTATGTACATAATCATTTTAAATTTTCATTTTATATTTGTTTTGTTGATTTAATTCTAATTTAAATTCTATAAGCATTCCGAAAATTCTATCATCTATCTAGCAATTCGTAAATTTCAATCATTGTTCCCCATGACATTTGTATCATGTAAATTATTTGTTCATTTCAAATCATTTAATATATGTGCTTACGTCTTCGTGTCCGGAGCAAAGGAAATTAGCGCTAGTGTTAGTTAATTCGGTTGCTTTTCAAAATATCGAATTGTACATTTGAGAAAGAAAGTATAAATTAATTAAGGACACTAGAACCAAAATAGAATTATGATTATTGTAGAGAATAACAAAGATAAATTTATAAACAATTAAGCTATTATCACATGTATAGATTTTATAATACAAATACGATTACGAAATATTAACTACTTTTAAATATTATATATTCTGGTATATTTTATATTTTGTGTATAGAGACAGATAAGAACGTATTGAGTTGTAAGATTAACGTACGAATGAAACATGTTGTGTGTTGTCTTGTATCTTATGTCATGTAGAATCTACAGAGTAGAGAAATTCGCTGAAGACAAGCTAGAGCGCGAAAAGTGGTTGTAATACTTTTTAAATTTATGATTCGAAAAGTTCGACGCACTTTGAGTAGATTTTATTTATTTCTGTTGCGAACCATCCTTTTCGATAACAATTACATGTTAATTATATAGATTATATACTGCATACGAATTGTTACGTGTATTTTTATTGGAATGGAACAATATCGACAATATAGAAAATATATATACAACAAATAGGGCGACGAGGATATATTTATTATTTAATGGTTCGATTTGAGGATCAAAAACAAGTAAATGTTGAAGATGATGATAAAATACAAGCTGTCAGCTTTAAATACTTTGTACAAAATACAAATTTAAAAGAAAACAAAATAAAATTCAAAAGTGAGGACAACGTTTACTTTAACAGGCCAATATATAAATATTATAGTTGATTTATAAATCCGTTAATGGATTTTTAGACCTCTAGCATCGGTAAATGTATGTTAATTTTAACAATATTTGACTTCCTTGCTTGTGATTACCCATGCAGACGTAATAAAATGTGTTGAAATTGAAATTACGTTAGGACAGTTGTAAGTTGCTAACTTATATTACATTGCTGTAATATTACAATTATTGTACACCGAATTTAATACGACGTATTCTGGCACAAAGAACTTTATGTATATAATAAAGACATTTTGTTAAAAAAACTCATTTGGTATTCATCGGGATACCATGCTTACTAAACTGAATTGGTATTTTAGTTTCAGGAATTCTGTTCATTCTGAATACCATGCCAATGTCGCCGCCGCCATTATCGATCTTAGGGGAGGACAAATGGAAGTTATCAAGGACCTGCCAAAATAAATCATATTACAGCATGAAAAGATAAGTAGAATAAGATACTCACATGGCGAAGTAATATAACTATTTCACTTTCAGCAATTCGTCTCCCAGGACACATTCTGGCACCATGCCCGAACGGTAATGATGCGTAGGGATGAATATCTCCTTTATTCTTTCGCAACCACCTTTCAGGTATGTATTTTAATGGTTCTTTAAAGTATTCTTCACGTTTTCCCATTGCTGATACAAAAGACATCACCAATGTCTGAAATTAAACAATTGGACATTTAAAAAATGATTTTACATTATTTTATGGTAAATATTACATTTTTAGGTACTGAATATCCTCCGATGTCAACGTCATGAGGTAAAAATCTACTATTTGCTCCAGCTGTTGTTTTAAGTCGTAATGTTTCTTTAACACAAGCTTTTAGTAACTCATTTGTTTGGTCATTCTTTACTTTGTTTTGCAAAGCAGCGTCTTGTGCTAAAAACCACATCGTGAAACTAATAGTAGTGGCGGTTGCATCAATTCCACCCAAAAATGTCTCAATTACCACCAGAAGACAGTCTTGATATGAAAGTTTTTCATTTGCAAATAATTCATATATAAATGGCTGCTCTTCCTTTAATTTGTTTTTGTTTGAAGTATATTCTTGATAGTGGAATTGCACATATTTTCCTAATATCAATTTCATTGTGTTGTGAGAGGATTCTAACTTTTTATATCCCTCCGTTTTGAAAACTTTCCAGAGTGGTAAACCAATCAATGTGGAATGTAAACCGTCCATAAAATCCATACTTGCCGCAATTATTTCTTTAGAATCAATTGTAGTAGGTAATAATAAACAATCAAATTCGTGTCCGGGACTTATCACTGAAATTGCTGTAAATGACAAAACATAAATATTTGCTTTTTATTTGGTTTAGCACCTAATCAAACCTTGAATTGCATATAAAAGTGAATCATCATAGACATTATCTAATTCATGATTTGTTTTTATTTTATGTTCAACGTATTTGACGAATTTTTGTGCAATTGTATGAAGTTGTGGCTGGTAATGATGCACCAAATCAGGTTTGAGCATAGGATTGACACTACTTCGAAATTTGTGCCACTCGGTACCATTTCCGGGAACAACTCCTACACTTCCGAAAATTTCCTTGCGATATTTTATAAGAGCGTGAAAAGGAGGTCGAATTGGGTATTTACCCTCGTTTCGGTACATAGTTTTTGCATGTTCTACATCTAAAGTTATCAACATATCAATACCCCCTAAACGCAATTTAAAAATGGTACCCAAAGATTTTGATAAGTCTTCAATAGCTTCGGTAAACTTTTCGATATTGTATTTGCCTGAAAATTGTGAACAAATCAACGTATTTTTGTATTAATTTACTTTTTAAATCAGTTACTTACCTCCCATCCATTTGGGTAGAAACAAGTACGCATGCCCAAGTAGCGGACGGGATTTTAACGTGGGCACATCGGAAAACGGCTTAATACCACTTTTTAAGTTACAAAATAAACGCATATTTAATCGTATCAAATATATTTATTAGTTAATTTAGTTATGTTTTTAAGGTGTATTTATTGCACAATTAAAATCATTTTGATATAGACTAATCAGCTTGTTTAACGGTGCTAGCTCGGCAAGTAGCTTCCTTGCTGACCTTGCTTAAATGGCTAACACGTTGCTTTAGCGTCATCATCGTCTACATTTCTATCTTGCTGAGCTGCACCTGTTCCACCAGTAGTAGCTAAGCATCATCACAAAGTGTGGAGTTATCTGACTTAAGTAATTTTTTAAGCAATAAAAGTTGCCTATATTTATGAAACTAAAATTAGTATTTAAAAATTGTTAAAATCTTAAAGCGAAAAGTAATAAATATCATATTCAACGTAAATAGTAAACTTTAAAATTACTATTAAAATAGTTATATGAAAGATATATAATTTTTCCAAGACATTTCGCAAAGTCAACGCCAAAATAAAGAAATATCAAAAACATCCACCTTGGACATGTGTTTCAGCATGTTTTTTTATAAGGCAATAAATTACACATGCATTGAGGTTGTCGTGACCAACAAACGATTCGGGCATGCCAATGAAATTCGGACACATTGTTCTCAACGTGTCAGCAAGTTCAGCAACATTTTATGCGATAAGCGGCGTGAATAATAACACATGTGCTCGTGCGCCGAATGCCGAAGATGCGCAGTACGCCAGCAAGGAGTAATGCACTTGCTTCGCCGCGCAGGAAAAGATAACTACCGGCATCAGAGTTCGCTCGATCGACAGATACGCGTATTGATGAAAAGTCGATCGAACTTTGATGCCAGTGCGGACGCGGCGAACGATCGAGGTCAAAAACGCAACACCACAACGCAAGAACCCGCCGAGAGTGGAGTTGGAAGCATTGGAAGCTTCTATGCGACGACGACCATCGACCATCTCTCCAACGGCAAATGCCATCACCACGTACACCGGCCCGCGAGCATTACCACCACGTTAAGCGCGGCGAATACCAAGAGATAGCAGATTACGAGTGCGCGTATATACGTTCGCTTATTCGAAAGTCAAAAGCGAAACGCAGTCGTGGACAAGAAGTAGTACGAGCCGAGTCGTTTTGCTTCGCGCGCGCACACGGGATAATTAGAAATTCTTCCGAGCGCGTTCTGAATGTGAATTTCGGATTGAAAATGTTGTTGTCGGCCGTGCCACTAATAGACATTAATCAACTTTGAGAAACATGTAGTTCCTGCATGCGAAATAATTGACTGTCAATCAATTCTAGTGCGCGTGAAATTATTTACAAAAATTTGTTGGTGAATTTATGCAGTGTTTTTCGTCTCCGGCAATTTTAATTGTGTGCTAGATCGGATGCCTAATTGTTATAAAAGAAAGTTTGAATATTAAGAGGAAATATTACAATTACATACTCTGAATCCATGGTGAGTACAGCGATGTTTATTAGATTTTCGATTTTCTCAACAACTAATTGTCCTCAATTCCAACTGCAAGAATTTCTAAACATCGAAAACTTCTGCGAATCAATCAATAAGAAGGTTCCATGTTTAGTCATAATCATTGATTAACCTGAATTCCATTAATTCGATTTATTGTGCTGAAGATAAACACAAAAATTCTTCGGAAGTGAAAAAAAAATAGAAATAAACAACTGACTTGTAACATGCCGTACGATTTATATCTTTTTACCGCGTGCGCGCGCTTCTCTTTTATAACGTTTGTATTCTAACACTGATTCTAACTGTATGTATTGCGTTTCATTCTTGTTTCTTTTTCTCAGTTAGTTTTAATTTTTCTACGTTAACCGCGCTTCTCACATCCGATATTATTTAGCGCATATGTGTAATGTGTAAGGTGTAAGATTGGTGAAGTCGAGTGAATAGATTAGCCTTTTGTTTCGATTTCAATGCGGGTTTTTATACTTAATTAGACTTTTAGTTCACCTCAAAACGGTTCAGCGTAATTTGATAAGCACACCGAAATGTAGTTCCGCGACTGCATGCACTTGAATTACAAACGGGTAATTAGCATATTGTTGTGGCCATGTTTTCACAACATAAACGTATTAACATTCTAAACAGTTATTCCGCTGAAGATAAGTTTAATCCTGCGTGTTTGCCATTGTTATCACTTTAGATTTATTATAGTTTAAAAATATTCAATGTGATAATTATAATATAAGTAAATTTTAAAAGTTTATTTCTTAATTAGTAGGCATGTTTTTATTTAATTGCACAATTTACTTTTCTCGGCTTTTATTTTGTTCATAGCAACTTAATTTTGGCGTTACTTCAAAGTTATTGGCATGACGCGATGTTGTAACATTAACACAATTCCGCTACAAATGTGCATTTGATGTAAACACAACAATAATTGTGCATTACGTACGACCTTTATTATGACAAGCGTGACAATCACAAGCGTGTAGAATTCGGCGAAACACGCGGACCCGGTTGCACATTGCAGCACTCGCTATCTGCACTCATTTCAAGGTGTTAATGTGTACATACACAAAAAACACAAAAAGTACATACGATAATTACAAGATCCATTAATTTTACGACATTTTAATGGCAAAAAAATTTCAAGCCACAATGTGTAACATAAAAATAAAATAACTCAATATATTGCTACGATTACAAAGCATTATTGTAATTTGTAATGCTTGGTCACCGATGTAGTGTAGGTAGCACTTTAGCGTAATCTCAATTCGTCTGATTACATTGTGCGCACAAAAAATCGAAATAGGAATGCGCCGGCGAATGCAATCACGATGCGCATGTATCTCGCGCGAGTTGACGTCAAATTGAAGCAAAAGTAATTGCTGATGATGCCGATTCCGGCGCGATGCTGCTGCAGCACGATGCGGTCGCGCCGCGCCGCTTGATTCGATTCTGATGTTGTCGAGCAACTCGCGTACTTACGTGCAGTGGCAGCTTGATTGCAACTAATTTTTAGCATGCCTGAAACTCGCGACCCGCGAGTTGCGATGCGCTGGCTTGATTTTCCGAATACCTATGTGTGCACTGCCAGCCGAGGGCCGAGAGCACGAAGCTGACGTTCGAGATTGCAAGCGAGTTTTAAATATTGCTCTCGAAAGCATCAGGAAGTTATTACTGATCGTTTTTATCGTACCTGGGTCGAGTTGAAGTTCATTTATGTGCGTACTCAGATATTCGAACTTGATTGCAGACTACGGTTTGCAATTAGGGACAAATTAATAATATTTGCATAGAAATAGACATAAAATTTTGTTGTATTTTATCGCAAATGATGCAATTTTAATGAATTTTTCTAAAAATTATTTTATTACGGTTTTATCTAATAATATATTGATATATTATAATTTATATCCTGGATGCTAGTTTAAAAATCATTTCGCGTTGTTTTATACTACAATATTCATAAATTTAAACATAGTTTAAGACCGGAGACCTTTTTGACCCGCTGGTTTTATGAACGCACAGAAAGCAGTTTCAAGTTCATCCATGCAAAAGTTTAAAGAAGACATTCAGTTCAACGTTTCAATGTAGGTTGTGGAATAAGCTATAAAATACGATACTAATACAATTGAAATTGTGACTATAAAATGCAAGAAAAGGCAGTTTTCAAGAACGAGTACAAATAAGTGTGTTGCTATATTTGCATTGGCTGAATCGTCTCATTTAAATTCACGTTGTGAATATGCACTCTGTTCCGAATGACAAAATGAGCAGGTAAACACACATTTTGCATGCAACAGACATTACAAACAAACATAACGAAATTTGTAACATTTATATGATTTTTTATTAGATTAATTGTGTTTTAACTTCTGTGTGAGTTTTCATAAGTTTATAGCTTTCTTATGACATTGAACAATAATTTTATGATTAACTATTCCTAATGCGATTTTGGTCATAAACTTATAGGAAAATGATATAAAAAGATATTTCACATAATATAACAGATTGTACTTTAAGAATAATCTCAAGGTTAATATTTCAGAATTATAGTGAGTCTAGTATCAGGTAATTTTAAGTAAACAGGAAAATAATACTCGAATATGTCCCTATTAATTCTTATTCATTTTCGAATATTGTGAAAGCTGTAGAATGACCGGCGTTAGGATGAAGTGAAAAGCATAACACTCATGTGCCACTTTTCGGCTACTTCACAGCACGCACACTGTATTCTATATTTTTATTTGTTTCGTACATCGAAAATACGTGATACGCAAATATTCAAGCACCGATTTAAAAATGAACAAATTCGCTTCTTGTTATTTTTTCCCAATGAAAAGAATTATGTTGACCAGAACTATTCATCATTCGTCTTAAATCAACAATATTTAAGTATAGTAGTCAAGTGTTAGGACAACAAAGACACAGGTGTATGCTTAGGTGTTATGGCAGGCTACTGATTAGTTAATCAAACACCTGATTTAGAAAGAAATACATAACCAACCTGCTGCGGAAGTTCCTCGTGCTTGCATCTTACTCGTATGTTTACCCTTTACTTCTGCTCTAATTATTTAATACGACGTTTTATATAATAAGTGTATTTTTGAGGCATAACAGAAGAAAGTTTGACAATTTAGTTAGTTTTCAACTTAGTATACCGATTATATCATGAACAACCTCGTTTTAATTCATACGTTATTATTTCCTAACGTGTGTTGTTAATTAATTGTCTAAAATAATATTGAATAATAGTTTGCCTTAAAATTATATCAAAATTTGATATAATATTAGTTAGTAACGCTAGTAAATTAAATAAATTGGATGAAAATATAATACTGGTTCAAAATTTTCAAATATAATCATAAAATAATAATAGAAACGTTACAAAGTTTAATTTTATGTGAACATTACTGTACATAGTCGCAGTATCTATTGCTTCCTCTTTATTTTAAATCCATTCAATGGTTTTATTTATTTTATCTTTTTGGCATGTGGCGTGTGATATACCACGCCGCTGTGAAGTGCCAATCTGCAGGTGGGTGTACCCGTAAATTGTACACCTCGCAGGGCGTATAAACGACCTTTAGCGCACAACTTCGACGTGTTCTGAACATTGTAACGCGCATTTGACTCCGCTCCGAATTGGACGAAACGAACCGCAGCAAACCATAGCGAAATGCTGTGAAGCAATCCTACAAGAACCAAACGTGGACGCAAACGAAGTGGTTTTTCATACTTCGATGCTTTCCATTTCCATCGATAGCTTGACTATTCTTGTGTGTTACTCTTTACGTCTCCAAATTGTTTTACTGCCTTAGTTTTTGTGCGTTTAATTATAGTGTGAGTTGATTTGAAAGGTGAAGCAATCTGTTGGTTATGTTGTAATGTTACAAATTGTCGTACTGTTTTGGGTGTTGGTTTAATTATGGCACGTTTAAGGTACCGTGCAATCGTTATAGTTTTGAGGAGGTTGAATGTGGCAATAACTATTTTATTGCGTGTAAAATACATGTAATATTTATATTTTACGATATTATTACGTGTATGCAATTCGGTAGGACTATAGATAGGTATTCCCTGTACGCGTGTTAAACAGAAAACCCTAAAGGGATCGAGGAAGCAACTGTTGGACGACTGCGGCTTACCCGCGAAAAGTGGTGGGGGTAATCCTGTCAGCATAAGGATATTCTCTCGATACCTGTTACCTCTATTAATCTTAATCCTGTTTAACTAACATTAAAATTTAGCACAAGAAGTGCATCCTGTCCATTCGTTTTGAATAATTTGTTCGCGACATTTAAAGTGTTTGTCATGTTGTCCTAGCCATCCTGCCTGCTGAATACATGAAACATCGTTTGCACGTTCTATGCCCCATGTTCAGCGCGCACTTTGTCGCGTATTTCGTCGTTTTGTGTACTTGATGTACTTTTTGTGCGCGCTCGCTCAGCAAAAGTCACCAAGCAGCAGTTCCACACTGACAAACGCATAAATGCGGTAAAGTGTCTATCGCTGTAGTGTGCGTGTACAGTCGTGGTCGATGTTAAGGTTGAGTCGTGTGTTGGTGCTCTCTGGAGCAGAAAATTTGCTTTGCTAGATGTATTTAGGGAAACGAGTGGAAAATTGCTTTATTGCTCTACCAAACACAAGCGGACAACGCGCAATGCAAACGTACATTGTGGGTAGTACCAACGAGGACTTTAACTTCTGCTGGCGACTGAGTAAATGCGATTTGTGCGCATTCAACTGCGCAATATAATCGAATAGCGTAATTATTCTAGTCCTGGCTATAATTTAGTTTCTATTTTATTGATACGATTGAAATCGCTAATACGAGAGAAAACAGTGCAGCAGGGAAATGACTTTTAACAACTCGGTTTCAAACAAAATGCAATTGTTTTCTTTTACATGGCATATAAAGAAAATATAAATAAATACAAAAACGGAACTCTACTTTTTAAACAAAATATACTTAATGGTGATTGCAATTTAATTTTAAACTCAAACATGTATACTTTAACAGGTGTGCTTCATTCATACTTATTTTATTATTAGTAAAAACAACACATCACATTTGTTTTACATCTTAAATTACTAATAAATTAGTACTTAACTAACGTTTTATTGAAAGTTAATAATTCGTGACTAAAACATTACTCTTGAATGTCAATAAACATCTTCGTCAATTTTTAATACAAGCATGAATAATTTTAGTAATAAATGAGCAATAAACTTAATTTATATTAATTTTTAAACACTCATTATACTAATTTTAGATTTTAGCAATAATTATATACTTATATTCTTCTCGTGGACAATGATGATTGTATAAATTAATTTCGATTCACATAAAAGTGTGAACCGAATACTTCTTATTCATTTTATTGTTTCTTTTGTACAATGCGACTGAGATTTAATTCAATGTTTTAATTAATGGTATAACGTTTCTTTAATCTAATTATTCATAGAGATTTAGATTTCTAGACCAGCTATATCTCATCTTTTTTCTGCTTGTTTATTATATTCAATTTCATTTACACTTTTAGATATTATTTAGCAGTTGTAAATATTTTTTTGAATACTGACCCAAATATTTTTATATATTTCTAAACAAACGGCGAGTTTCTCATTGAAATAACCTGAAAATTCACTTACATCACTTTGTTCTTGGATTGAATTAATCTAAACATTTGATTTGTCTTAATCTCAGCACACCTGTATCATTCTTGAGTTTATGTCATGTTATTGACACGTAGGTAGTCTCACATTAGACAAATTAAAAAATAACCACATTGTCTATTGGAATCACAAGGCCGACCGCTTGATATTTACATAGGCATGCTTTGCAAAGAAGTACATGTCGATTGGATACTATCAACACTTCTTGATTTCAGTATTCAACAGTGGCATACGTCTGTTTTGCATTTTGAAACGCAAATGTTTTGTTTACGACGTAATAATTCGTTTTTATCTGAGCAACGAGTCTTAAAAAAACCTGACCTAGATTACTAACACTTAAAAATACGAGTAACTTGCATTCATATAAATTTTCATTTTACAACCTTTGTCATGCAAATGCATCAAATACCTGTAATTTTATACTAACTAGATAGAACAAACATATTCTTGTCTTTGTATTTCTATATTCATCAGGTATTTAAATATGAATACACGCCAAGAATAAAAAAAATAAATGTTATGACTTATGACGTGATACACAATATAGTTCAGCATAAAGAAAATTAAATATTTTTATTGTGGCTATGAGCGTTGAGAAAAATATAATTGGCACTTTACTTTACAAATGTACAAGAAACAAAGTAAGGCTTTGAATGTGAATGTGAAGTATGTAGGATAATTACGTGAATGTTAAACAATTTTATTTTGTTACAGGTGATGACTGAATACGAACGAATACGCCGGGCGTGCTTAAAACGCGGTGAACTTTGGGAGGATCCTGATTTTCCTGCTGCGCAAACCTCCGTGTTCTATCATCAAACACCACCGTTCCAGTTCCAGTGGAAGCGACCAAAGGTAAATCAAAATGATAACTATAAATCAAAAAATATTATTTACGACGTTATATCTCGGACGTTGCTATTACAGTTTTAGCAAGACGACCGTTATATTATTGCAAAATCAGTCAAGTCTTGTCTGAGACAAATCAAAGTCGTGAACAAAATCAAAGCATTAAAGTTCAACTGCATATCTCCATATCAAAGACATTAAAGATATTTAAACGACAACGGTAACAGGTGTTGGCCGACGTTTGAATATGCTGAAACGCCTTGAGATACAATCATTTATTTGCATACGAAAACTACAAACATAATAGAATCAAATAGCTGTATTATAAAATAATTTTATAAAATTATCGTTTGTACCCACACTTTGATTCATATCATATTCATTAAATTAATATAAATCAAGTACTTGTAAATGAAACATTTTAAAAATCTAATTTATTGTGGAGGCGCAATTAAAGTCTCAATATTATTACCTATATCATTTAAAATTGCAAATCATGGCGATTATAAATATTAATATGAAATCTAAAACTATTATGACACAAATCGAATGCTTAACATTTTTATGTGGGACGTTTCTTCAATTCCATTCGCAATCAACAATTTTTTTATGTAAATGGTTGCAATTATAAACATTTTATGGTCACACACGCATTCCGAGTGACTACAAGGTATAGAATAAACCTCACCGATAGAGTAATTATTGCTCGTAATTTAATTTTGTTTCGAGGCGTATGCGGCGCGTTCTGGTCGATAACGGTTCACAAATTATTGCAATTATATATTTTTCACTTCCCATTAAGTAATTTTTATATATAGTTGAATTAATAATGTTGACGGTGATTCTCATAGCATTCACAACAACTTCAAACATATTTATATGCTACATGGTTTAAAATGATTCAAATTATTATTTTTTTCAATACATTAATAGGCATGTAAAGCTATTATTTATGGGTATAGTTGTGACGCTCTGATTTGACGTCAGGAAGAGTAAAAAATCAAAAAAGAGAAAATTTTATTTATTTTTTGTTCTGTGTTTAAACAACATATTAAATATCTACTCTGTAATATATTTAAAAAGTTTAATTTACATTTATGTATCGGTAAAATATGAAATGATGAACGAGTAGGTATACTCGTATGTTGATGAGCCAGAACAAGAACGGTTAGACATCAGTTAGCTTGTTAGTCAGATTAGCAATATTCTTTCTGGCATGCTAGAGGTATTATCGCGCTAAGCAAATGTTGCGTGAGTAGCATTCACAGCTTACTGCTTGTATGCTTATGGTGCCCATGACTATATTATGGCTTTGCGGTGTTTCCAAATAGTCAAAGTTAGCGCAAACTCATTGCATATCTGCCTTAATGTACCATTAAACCGAAGAAATTATAAATTTCTTTGTTCTTTTGCAAAACACAGTGCAATGTGCAAAGAATGATGGTAATTTGACGATTGTATAATAACTGAAGGCGTTAATAGCATCAACAAATAATAACCTCTAACATTTAGCAACTGGTTTGTAGGTATTCATGTAGCAAATAACAATGCATCCATATTTATTGATTCTAAATGTGCACATTTATAAAATTACACTTGTAATTGTTTGCAAAGATTATTGCATCTGTTATGGTTTATGTTGTATTCTTAAGTTTTACATAGTTGCATAATTTTTCTGCAATTTTACTGCAATTTCTAAGATTCAAGCGTGTAGCTCTCAGAAGTTTTGTAAGCATGTTACATCAAGCAAACAAATTACAAGCCTGCAACCACGTAGAATATCATTATTAACATAGCTACACCAAGAGTAGTCTAGGATTAACTAATTTCAATTTGCGATGAATTTTATCACTCGTGAAAATCGGCTCGCTTTAAATACGTAATAATACACGTTGCCGAGAAAAAAAACTTGGTTTAGGAAGCACAAAGTACACAGGCATGTAGTTAGGTACAGAGAGGTACTGTGGATCAATTGTTAGAGATGAGAGATGCTCGCAGCGTTGAGGAGTAGCAAACAAGACAGTAGGAAATAATAAAAGCGGATAAAATAGAAAATGTATTACGACAAGGCGCATGAAAATTTCCCACGTGAGCTAACAATCAACAATGAATGATCATTAAGATGGTGTTGTGCTGGAGATTTCTATTTGCTTGCAATTTTTACTTTCGCAACAACCCTCGAGAGCAGACGAGGCGTTGAAGAGATTGATGAAGTCATAGAATCGTAATCTGTATTGACTCTCATGGGAACGATAGGTATTTCATCATCTTGCGAAAATAATTTCGAAATGAAAATAAAATTTTTATTTAGAAAAAAAATTGTTGTGATATTTAAACTTTGTAAATTGTAGAGTATATTTGGTTATAGGAAACTAAGATCATTAAAGAGGTCTAAGTCATTTATGATGGTAAAACAACAACATGTTTGCTATCTACGTTGCCTTTCATAGTTCTTGTTTTACTATACACGCAGTGTTTTGCATCGCGAATTAATTACCTTGTGCTGATTACGGCCTGAAGCTCATTATCCACCTCGATCATCATCTCGTCTACTGCCTAACTCTCGCGAGTTCACTACTCACTACAAACCTGATAATATGTAGTCTATTGCGACTATAGTTAAGTACACATATGGTAGTTTGACATGCTTAAGTTTTACCTACTCACATGTTTGTGATGCACATTTTATTGTATCATATATTTCATCTGCATTGAGAACACACACATTAGGCTGTTGTGACTATTTGGAGTGCAAAGATGTGTTCAATTCCTATATAATTGACAGAGATAACTGATAAAATCAAAATAATGTGGATAGTTTTCTTGTGGAATAGTAGAAAGTTGTGTTTTTAAACTAAATTCTCAGTGCAAATGAATTTTCATTAATTTCAAGCTGAATATACAATTTTCATGCGTTAAAATTTCTATTTCACGCCTTAAGATGTATGACAAGGTTGTAATTACACAAAATTGCAGATATCTTAAAAAACAATACATTTTGTATTTTCAGTTATTAAGAAAAGGCTTTATATCCTTTATAGGAAGCGAACATAATAATTGGTGAAATTTAATTTTACGTTTATTTAAATAACATTTTATTTTCAATTTTACGCATAATTTATTTAACTATTACATCGACATGATTGTTTCATGTGTTTTGGCACTAAAACTCATTAATTTCGTTCTCAAATCTACACAATTGTGTGCGAAATTATATGCTCGAAACTTTTAATTATTAATTATATTTATAGCGTCAAACATGAATAAAAATGATTGAACCATGTAACTGTTTCGTAACTGCACATTCGCAGTAGATAGTATTACCAGAATTAGAATTGTTGTATTGTTTCCTAGTTTTTTGTTGTTTTTTGTCGATGCGAATATACTATAGAAATTAAACACATTTAATTCCTCGAATTAAAAAGCGCACGTTATAAAAGTGAGAGTTACAAAAAAGAAAAGAATATATTATATTAATGAACTTAAAATGTAACTTTATTAACATAATGAATACTTTAATATCTACTTTAGATTGTTTAATTAAGTTGTTAACAAATACTTTGTCTGTGTAAATATAAATGTAGATTTTCTAAAATAAGAAAAGAATAAGTAAATTGTGATCCGGTATTTGAGAAGCGATTATAATCGATATTCCGCACGCAAATTTCAAATTAACAGCAAAGTATTAGTTCGAGTATTGTGGCCAATTATAGTTGTTTATTGCTGAATTGGTGTAAACAAGAGTATAATTTCTAAGTGCTTCCAAGAAATACGATTGTTCCAATTTCACGATAATTTATGAATAATTTCAATACGCGTTGAGCACAACTTAATCATCATTTACTGGACTGTGTTAATATCGCAGTGAAACGAAGGAAATGTATGTCTACGGGTTTTAGTTTACACGCATATCAATTAATACTTTCTCAATGAAAAATATTCGATTATTCTGACATGGTCACAGGCATATAACACTTTTTTTACACCTTAAGACATGTTTTTGATCAAAATACGCCATGTAATGTAATAAAATGTAATGTTATCTATCGTATCTATAAAAAGAGAAAAAAAAGTTTCTCTAATCATGAATCATCATCAGATATTATACATGAATAGACACCGTCTAAGATTTCATGTTTACGTGGAAATGAATCCTTGCTTGTTTTCGTATAAAATGCTGTTAAAATTGATGATACCAATCTGTAAAAGTTTAAACACAAGAAAAACATCTTTCCAGGAATGTCTGCAAAACATAAAACTTTTTATTATTTTAGCAGTAGGTACGCTAAACGTTTGCAATTATAACACTGGAAGAGTTTAACGATTGTGTGCAAGACAAAAATAAAATACCAAATTTATCACGCGTCGTAAATGCACTCGACAAACACACGATCTTAACGATTTATTCAACCTTGACGAATCTAACTAAACTAACTGAAATTGTTTTAGGATCTTTGTAATCGACCTGGCTTTGTTCAAGATGGACCCGCGCAGTTTGACATCGTGTCGGGAAAAATGGGTAAGTAGATGTGAAATTAACCACATGTTTAATCATTTGTGCTGTTAGGAGCATAAGAAAATGATGATTATTTTACGAATTGCGGACACGAATTTATCGCCACTTTAATTTATAGTACCTAAGTAGAATACTCTCGTCAGACTTTCGTTATTTTTTTGCTCTGGAACAATTTCAAGCTTTAATTCGGCCTATATTTACTTTCAAAAGTAAATTTCGAATAAAAGTAATGAGTACGATATTTTTGGATATAACAAATCATGATTTATTATTGTTTTAATTAATTATAACCATGCTTAAAATACGTGAGTCGTAATTTGTAAACTTGAAATTCTTGAACTTCCAGTGCTTAAATGCTTACTATTTTTTTAGATTTTAGCTTTCATGTGTTCTGTGTTGTTGCCTCTGGAAATATTTACGTAAAAATTCCAAACACGCCCGTTTTTACGTTAAATTATACACAAACAAATTGCTAGCTTCGTTGATCAGACACACCAATTCAATTTCGTTCATCTTTAAGTTGTTTGTACTACAAACTTCTCGTCATTTGCATTTTTAACGTTTACTTTCGATTCTAGTACACGTTGAATTTCAAAACATCGCCTAACATCTATGTCTACGTCAATGAACTAAACTAAATATTAAACTAATTAGTTGTTTCACCAGGTAGAAGAAAAAATCTCATACTAATAGCGGCAATTCCTTTAGAATTAATTTTTAAAACTTTTAAAAAAGATAATGATTAGTCACTTTCTTGTTCGAAGTTTATCGCCGGTGAAAAGACGTGTCTTCACGCGCTGTTTTTTATAAACTATTTGTAAACCGTTTATTAACGGCCAAATTGACTTGGTTGTAAGGTGAAGAAGCGGATGATATTAACGTGACTTACGTACAGGACGTCAGTTTCCTGTGTGACATCAGTTAGCGCCTCGTTTATAGACATTCGGTGAATATGCGCGCATGTTTCTAATATAAATCTTTTATATTTCATAAACAATAATTCAAAACCGAGAGGAAACCATATGTTATTTGGTGTATTGAATAATTAATCAAGTATTTATTACTTTTTGATCAAATAAATTTTAAGTTATGATTTTTTTCTTTAAGGTGACCGATGGTTGGTGTCTTGTTTAGGTATACTATACCTAAACAAGGGATTATTCTATCGGGTCGTGCCGGCAGACCAGTCTTTCAACAACGACCAATATGCGGGGGTGTTCAGGTTTCGATTGTGGTGGTGCGGTGAATGGACCGAAGTGCTGGTGGACGATCGTCTGCCCACGGTACACGGACGACTTGCCTTTTTGCAATCAGCACATTCTGACAACTATTGGCCTGGGTTATTGGAAAAAGCGTATGCGAAGTAAGTAAAAATGTGAAACATAACCTGATTTGACAACTTTTGCGTCCTCGTGAACTTTTTGCAAAAGAGGTTAATCCTTTGTCTAAACAATTAGCCATAAAATAATTGATTACGCGTCTGTCCTTTCATTGCACAACAATAACATGAAATTAAACCATTATTGCAATCCGAAACACGCGCACACAATATGCGTAAAAGCGATTGTTGTGATATAACGGTTATTGCTCGAACGGGCGCGCGCATTTCATAATACCTCAACTTGTTTTAAGTTGACATGATTCTTCGGCATCAGTTCAAGTTGATATCGAAGGATGCGAGCTGGTGGAATGAGAATTCTCGAATGCAGGCGGGCACCGTTTGTTTGCTGGTCCACAACAAAAGCGACTTTCTCTACTCGGCTGTGTACGGTTTATCTCTTACTGTCTTACCGTTTAATTTCCATTAATGCACTTGCACAGAATCACAGCGGGCGCAGGTTTGCCGCATTCCGAAATTTGTGCGCATAATTCAAGACTTATTAAATTGAATGAGCCTATTAAATTTGATAACATTTATGAGTTAAATGGAGATAGAACAAAGCATGAAACAAGAAAATTCAACATACGCGTGTGCTGGACGTTGACGCGTGTTAGGGTTTTCTGCGAGACGCAGGAATTCGTTTGAATGTACCGTAATAATTTATCGGTGCAGCTAAATGTCGGGATGCAGGAAACTCAACGCCATTTAACGGTTGGAAGTTGGAATTGCACGTGCAACAACTCACCAATTAATTTGTTTTGTTTTTGTATCATGCACAGACCTAAAAGAAGCGAAGACAATTTTCTTTATGCGCATTTACGTGCAATTATTACTTCAATATAAAACGACCGTAGTAATAATGAGTTTATGCATGATTAAATTAAGTAATTAACAAGTTGTTTTAACCTTATATGGTATTTATATCTGTAGTTTTGTTTGTCGTTGATTTTCAACGTTTCAGAAATCCGTTCATTAATAAAACGAACGGTTTCAAATGATACGATACGAAGTGAAAGTCAAACACGGAAGTCTCGGGGGCACGTCGCATAGGTATATTCATACTTACAGGTATTCCTATGTGTGTATGAAATTCTTCAATAAAATGCGTTCGTTCATACATTGAGTCAGGTCGACGATTTGGCGAATGTATGTGCGACTGTGTGTACACTCGCATGAATTCTGCGTTCGTTGCCTTCAAGCGCTGATGCTGCCGTGAACTCAACTCACGCATCTTAGTATAATCGAGAATCAATGAATTTCAGAGGTTTCAACCAAGATCCAATCAGATTTTTAAATGTGTGAAAGATGCAAATTGTCACGTTCGGTATTTATACTGCAACTCATGCGGTACATTGGTGCGTTTTTCTAAAATAACCTGAGGAAATCGTCAGATTATTTCATGATCATTCTGTAGGCAACTGTAAAATACGCAGACCCAATAAGCACAATACATTTTTGTTGTTTTATTGTTTTTGTTGCCCACTAACGTTATTAATGATTGTTGTACTGGATAATGGAGAATCAAGAAAATTATTTGTAAACAAAACTCACTAGGTCATGAGACTAATGAAAGAATTCTTACGCTTGGTCACATTTGTCATCAAACCTTTAAACAAACAAACAGTAAATGACATATTAAAGAATCCTTCATGAGTGTGACCTCAGTTTAACAACAATACTTCTTTAACAACCGTATTAATTCAATATTTGATTCATAGCCATCAGTGATGATCGCATTGCACCCGTACAGCATTAACGACATTGCATTAAATCATCACATGAATACACGTTTCATCGAATCACATTTTTATCGCATCAAAAGATAATAATAAGTTATTTATGTGCGCTGAGTTTAACGCGGAACGTAAAAGAAATAAAATAACGAAACTTTAAACGCGTAAATCGTAAATGCCTGCGGTCGGATGGCCAGTAATGCGAGACGATAGATCAATAACCGAGAAATATATCAATGCATGAGACTAGAGTTGAACAGGTTTTATCCGGAGGACATAAGACCACTTTATTACCTACAAACCAATGTTAATTTATTATTTATTATGCGTGTTATGATGATCAATGTATTGTTTTGTAATGTTATTGTGGTTTTATTTGTAGACTTCACGGATCATACGAAGCTTTAAAATATGGTAGTCTCTTGGATGGTTTGGCTGATCTCACAGGAGGTATCACAGAAAATATTCCACTTCGACAGGATCCAGCAGCGTGTGCTCGATTGTTACATAAATTATTGGATATGACATCTATTATCACTGCTACTATTCAACCGCCAAATCAACAGAACAAATCAAGTCCGACTGAAAAACTCACAAGTGGTATACAACTAGGTACCAATTACAGAATATATTCTGTAGAACGAGTAAGTTAATGTTAATTATTTTTTGTTGTTGTGATGTTTATATGATCGTGTATTGTGTTTAAGGTGGAGAAATTTAGTGGTGAAGCCATTCAACTAATCAAAGTCAGAAACCCTCTTGGTACCTCTACAGAATATATTGGAAGTTGGTGCTTTGACTCTCCGGAATGGTCAGAGGTAACTCCCCAGGAGTTAGAACGGATTAAACTTAAAACAAACGAAGGAGAATTCTGGATTTCCTACAATGACTTTATTAAAACCTTTTCTCACCTGGAAATTGTTCATCTGGATAGTGATACAAGTCGAGATGAACCTTCCTTACACAATAAAAACACTTGGCAGATGAGGATCTATCAAGGAATGTGGCAGAAAGGTGTTTCTGCAGGTGGTTGTCGAAATAATCCGGAAACTTTTCATATAAACCCTCAACTACACTTATTACTCAGTGAACTAGAAGAAGTAGTTGTATCGCTGAATCAACACAGTATAATGGAACCCAAGGTAGTGGGATTCACAGCGTACTCATTGCCGAAAAGCGCTACTGAAACAATCGGCAAAGCTTTCTTTAAGAAAAACAAATCCTTAGTCAATTCTCAGTATACGAACAGTCGACAAGTTAGTCATCGGTGTCAATTAGAACAGGGAGGTTATTTAATCCTGCCTACAACATTTGAACCAGGTCAGGAATGTGGATTTACATTGAGGGTGTACTCAAGTAAACCTCTGAAGCTGAAACTATTAGACACGGTGCCGTATTTATTCAAGTCAGCCATAGTCAAGGCGCCGCCATTATTGGACGGAAAGAGTTTCAGTCAGTATGAGTCAGTGTTTCTGCAACTGGCGGATGAACATCGGACTGTGAATTCATTTGAACTTCAGGAATTGCTTGATGCTTGCTTACCGAATGATTATATTAAAAGTTGTGCGTCAATTGAAGTGTGTCGACAGGTCGTGTTAACTTTAGATGTAAGTTACACAATAACACTGATCAATTTATTGGAATATGTTTGTAAATTCTGTGATAATTTTAGAATTCTGGAGTTGGTCGACTTAAATTCTCCGATTTTAAGGACTTGATGTGTTCCTTAAAGTATTGGCAAACAGCGTTTAAAAATCACACTAAAGAGAAAACCGGAATTCTGAAAGCGGAAAGATTACGCGACGCTTTAATGGAGGTTGGGTTTCAATTGAGCAGCGAGGTTTTGACTATATTAATTTTGAGATATATGAGGAAAGATGGTACTCTGCGTTTTGGTGATTTTGTTTCAGCCATATTACACTTAACCGTAGCATTTAGTAAGTCATTAAATTTACTTTGTTTTTGCAATTAGGTATACAATATTATTTTGTGTTTTAGATATATTTGAAAATAAGGATCCTCTGCAAAATGGCAATGTAAAACTAAATCTAAGTGAGGTAAGTATTAATAATTCAAATACATTCTTAGGCAATATTAAATATCAAACTTGATTTTAGTGGTTAAAGTCATCGTTAACATGCTGATAAGCCGCAACAATAAAAGTTTATAAATAAAACGTAATATTATGAAGAAGCTAATGTGAAATGTAATATATAAATGTTAATTTTAAGAAATTTTTCTTGTTTGTTGTAATTTTGTAAATAATCTGCTGTAATCTACTGTTTATTTTTATTTTTATACGTGTTTTGTATAAAAATGATAAATATGTCACCTACGCCCAGTAAAACTTTTATGATCGATTGACAAATACTTCAAAATTAATCGGAAACCTCAAGAAAAAAGGGAGACTTGTGAAAATTCGGAACTAGCAACCGTTCAGCTAAACCAGATCAGACACGTTTGAGCGTTTTATTCATTGCAAGCTACCCGCAAAAAGTGGTAGGGACGGTGCATGAATATGCAAGTTGTTTATTTGTAAATACAGGAGGCCAGTCCCGTATTGGCAAGCGTCGTAGACGGGCGTGTGTAAATCATAGGGTAAATTGTGTTTGTTATTGTTTACTGGCAAGTTATTATAGTTACGCACAATAACAATTAACTTTAAAACATAGGATCAAGTTAGTGTGATAAATTTACGAGCTGTTTGATATACGTCAAAGTAAAACTACAAAAAAATATTTAAAAAATAGGATTTCTAATCAATATTAGAAATTTATAAACTTTTAAACAATTTACATATATCTTACACAAAGTCTCCTATTTACTCCTGTGGATTTCTTAAAAGATTTCCATATTTCACTCTAAGTAAATCCAAAATTCAAAATTTAAAGAATCAGTTTCAATAACTTGTAACCCAAACGTACATTTTTTAAACTTTATTATTGGGTTTCGTGATCGAGTGAAACTACAACAAATATCGGCGGATTGACTATCGGTATGAAGGTAAATAATAGTTTATTAACAACACAATGCATATTGACTTGTTTATGTGATAAATAGAATCGGCCCAAATCATCAGCAGATAAGGGTACAGATAAGCAATGGGATTCTGCGTCTGATATAACTGTTGAAAGATTTGGTGCCTTGTTGAAAAAGATACCACCGAAGGGTGCAAAGAAGAAACCTAGTACGTTTTTGAGCAGAAGTAATTTGTCCGCGAAAAGTGCCACCGTCTTAAAAGGATATTGTGGTTTGACTTTGGAATCTGACGGTATTTCGAGCAGTTCAGACGCGTTTTTCAAGAAATCTCTGAGGAGATACGACGATTTTGAAACACCTACGCCTAAGACCAGCCAAAAACCTAAACGAGCAAAAACAGTTAGTTTATTCGTTATAAAAAATATGTTGAGATAATATAACACTAATATATTTAGGCAAAATCTAAGAAACAACAAGTTTCACAACAAGGAGAAGTTCGTAGATCTGCGAGATTCATATCAGCCAGTGATACTTCATTAGCAACTCCACGTGTTACACGTGCTCACGAGTTTGACGACGACGCTGACGTTTTCTATTCGCCAGACAGTTGTCATTTATACGCTTCTGGTGATATAAATTTCCACTCAACCAGGGAAGATCCCGAACAAAACAACGCATCCGAAGAAAAGCCAAAAGTTACAGAAAGTAACAATCAGCATACTCATAGTGTCAAACACAAAGAAGGAAAACACAAAGAACTTGATTCTCAGTTATTTCATTCAAATAATAAACAAACAACCAACGTAATTGAGGAGGTAGAGCGAATTGTTACGTATACTACCGAAATGGCGGATACGGAAGGAGATAATCCGCCTCCAGCGGATGAAGCACCTGCTGACGATCCCGATGATGATCCCGTGGCACAAACAGAGAAACTTGTAGAAGAATCTACCCAAGAACTTGCTAAACTCGAAAAGGAACTTGAAGATAATGTAAACAATTGTATTACAAATTAGTCAAAATAATTTAACACGATTATGTCGGCTTTTAGGACGTGCCACCTGATGAGCAAGCAGTGCTTAAAGAAGTTGAAGAGTGTGAAACTCAATGCATGGAAATATATAAAATATTGAGTGAATTAAAAGATCGAGTTACCGAATTATTAAGCGTATGCCCATCTTTGTTAACTTATCTACACATTTAATAACAAATGTTTTATTTCAATAGAAATCCTCAAGAACTCCACAAGAAGAACAAGAATTAGAAGCCAAACAGAAACTTTTAAATGATAAAATGGCACTATTGGAGCAAAAAACCCGTAGAATTGAATTACTTGTTGGTAAAACAAAGAAACAAGACTTTAATAAGTTTTACGATGAAGATACATTACCGAAAGTGGTTGTATGCGGTTTAGCTGAGAATAATATGCCAAAATTTATTATATGCGATGATAAAAAACGGCGATCTTCGCGAAAACAAGGATGTAGTCCTCTTACAGGCCCAGCGAAAGGCTGTCCCAATGCTAATTTGCCTCCACAACCATTCCAAGCTCCTTGTATCGGAGCGCAAGGTGGTGCGCGAGGTGGGCGTGACATGGGTCAGGGATATCCGCGTTCATCTGCTCGCATGCAGGCGTATCCTAATGAGGGAATGAACGAACAGATGCAACCAGTGACAATGGTATAAATGTTGCTTATATACCCATAAAAGTACAATTACATTTTTATGTTTTAAGCGTGCAATGCCTCAATTTGCCAAAAGATTGAGTGAGAGTTATGATATGCAAGAACGTTTAGCTCAAGAAAATGCTGATCTCGAGGGTAAACGGTATCAGTTACAAGAAGATTTGTTGTGCAAGGAACAAAGTCTTGATTCACTACAACGACAATTGCAATGTATGCAACAAGAACTGCGTCATGTGGTCAAAGAAAACGGATTACTCAACTGTAAACTACAACAAATTCAAGTAAGCTAATGCGCCGTTACTTTGACAACTGTTGATATGACAATTTCACATCATATATGTCATATCATTCTAAATTTTCGTCTTATACTCTCGTCCAATCCCTCAAATATTAAAAGTATTCACTTTAGGAATCAACAAAAAAAGATCCTTGTGAACCAATGCCTTCCTTACCTTGTCCACCTTGTCAAATGCCACGTCCACCCGGCGGGGACAAAGAATCCCCACGCCGGCAACCATGTGGTCCTGGAAAAGGACCTTGCCCTGCAGATGAAAATGAAGAAACTAAAAAACTAGAAAAACAACTATGCCTAATGGAAATGGAAGTGAAAGCCATTCAAAATGAGTTGACTACTGTGCGCCAGGAGCGTTTACATCTTGAACAACATCGAAGAATGTTAGCACCAATGACTTGCCCTCCACCATGTGGAAGTCCATGTATGCCACCATGTCCACCACGGGTATAATACAAGTTATATTTCACTGAGAAGTTGTATAAATCTTGTGATATTTGCAGACCGATGCGCAAGTAAGGGAAATGCGTGAAAAGTACAATTGTTTACAAGATGATTATAAATCCAAGCTTACTGAAGTAGCTGGTTTAAGAGCTGATGTTGATAAGTTTAAAGCCAATCTACAAGAAGCTGCAGAATATCGTAAAACAAACGAAGAAAAAATTAAAGAGCTGGAGAAAATTATAAGGGAATTGAAAGACCCTAAAACGGTTTGAAACTATTTTAATAAGTAGACATTTGCTTAATATGATGATTTTAGAGTTTAACGAAAGAAAATTTAATGGAAATGGAACAACAATTGCAAGTTGCAAAACAACGATTCCGTGAGGCTCAAGATGAAATGGACGAGTTGAGAGCTTTAACTGAAGAACAGCAAACACAACTAAAAGATTACCGAAATAAGGTACCGGGAAAAAATATTAACTTTTAATTTTTAACTTTTTGATTTGATTTTAATCTAGTATTTAGAAGCTCAGCAACAAGTTGAAGAACAAAAACGACAAATGGACTTAATGGAGTTGGAGAATAGCCGAATTGGCGAGCAAGTCAATTTGGAAATACAACGTGTTAAAAATCAATTCCAAGAAAAACTTCAAGAATTAACTCCGCTTCCCGATATTTTAAAAGCAACTCAACTAAAACTGCAAGAAGCTCAACAAATGCATTTGATGGCAGAGCGAAATAATGAAGCACTTTTGAGGGAAATACAAAACTTGCGAGACAAGGCAGTAATGGCCGTGGAACAAATGGAAGCAAATAAAAGTGGATTGGGGAATTTGGATGCAGAACGTCAGAGTCTTCAAGACGCCAACGAGGAAATGGAAAGACACGCGCAACTCTTGCAAGCTGAGAATGACGATCTACGTAGAGAAATGGATCGTATGCACGATGAAGTCGAAGATGCGGAAAAACGCGCCCAAGAAAAACTTCATGAAATTGCGCAACTTAGCGCTGAAGTAGAGAATGTTCGAGATGAATCTGCGCGGCAAGTTGCACGCGTTAAAGATCGTTGTGAAACTGTACGACGTTCAATGCAGAATCAAATCTGTGATTTGGAAAAGCAACTAGCGCAAAGTCGCGCACAGGCAAAGTCTGCTCAACGCGATCGTGATGATATAAGACAGAAAATGCAATCGCAGATTACCAATCTCAACGATAACTTCGAAGATGCGCAAATGCGCATTCGCACATTGCAGGGTCACGTTAACTTTTTGAAAAGTTCCGCCGCTGTTTATCCTTCAATGGATCAACTCGCACCCAACCGAAATTGTTAAAGAATTCTAACATTTTTTATTTGTGCGGCTATTATGTTTGCAGTTTTTTTTCATATGAGACGAATAAAACTTTTTGGAACTTATTTCAACTATTACGAGTTTATAAAATCAATATTCGTGCTAAATTAGAAAAGATTCAGTTAGTGGGGCATTTAGTTTTCGTAAATAGACAATAATCGCGCGTTAAACTTGAGTTGAATGTTTCGTGTGGTTTGCGCGATACGTGCACATCGGTGACGGATTGGCGAAACGAGAAACCGACTCGTGTGTGCGTGATATTGACAGGACCCGGATTGGAGACGTGAACCGAGGAAGGTGAGTAAGGGACAACCACCGGACATTACTTTAAATGATAGATTCACACGCGTTCGTCCAACAATTCAGCATATCGTGGCAGTTTAGCAGTTTATCTACATTTTGATACATTTTATCAGCGTTTTACATTCAATTATAAATTTCATAACCTTACATTTTGCTCTGCATTTCGCTTCATTGTTCTTCACCACCATCATTACATTTCGTGCTTGATTTACAGCGGTATTCACGATTTTTATCGCGATATTTGCTTTTTTCAATGGGTCAGATAACAAACCTATTTTATTTGCTTCATGCTAATTATCTGATTGCTTTCAGATTACATACATGGCTCAATGAAACAATGAATGCCTTACAATATCTATGACTACTGATCAATCAACTCCAATCACAATTAAGAAACATCACAGGGATCTTCAGTATCACTAACCACTCTTAAAACGTTCAACTACTCTACATTTATGCAGGCAGACAAATGCAGGTACATGTTACAGAACAATGGCTGAATGGTTTGAGGAACTCAATTCCAATGATCCAGGAATTGTTGAAGAGGCAAAACAAAGGTTCAGTGAACAATTTAGTGCAGGTAAGAGCATTAATATGATATATATTTTGTGCTATTGCAAACTATATATTGTGATGTTAATTGTAGTAAAAGAGCCATGGCTTGTCAATGGACTTTATGATCATTATATGAAAACAAATTCAGTCAGAGTTCTGGAAATATTGATAAATGTGCCAGAATCACATCATGACTATCTTTTTAATAAGTAAGTTAAACCTTCATCAAGTTCACTTTTTCTTAGAATATTTCTAGTTAATTGAAACTGTCATTTAATAAATTTCAGATTACATGATTCACTTGTTAGGGGTGCTACTAATAGTAAGTTTCAAGCATTAAATCTGCTCGGCCATGTCGTCCGAAAGCATCCAACGTGGCTGTTTAAGATTACTGAGAAGGCGTTATTTAGGGAGTTGTTAAAGCTATTGAAGGTATGTTTTCATTATCTGTGCATATCAACAAGTACAGCGTTATTTATCGATTTCAGACTGAAAATGATATTTTACTATTACTGAGCGCGTTGCTATTGCTGATCGTTCTGTTGCCATGTATACCGTCACAGATGGGGCCACACTTGCAGGATGTTTTTGACATTTTTAGGTACAAGCTTGCGTTTTAAAATAACTTTGTTTCTAATATAATTAATCATTTTTCTCCAGTCGTTTGGCAGCGTTCAACAGCTCTATTCCTGAAAAGATGAATGAAGAACAATTGGTACATATGCAAGTTGGTTTGTACGCTCTATTGCAGCGACTTTATGGCATGTATCCATGTAACTTTCTCGCTTACTTAAGAAGTTATTACAAGAACAAGGAGGCGTCAAATATTTTCAAACACACCATCAAAGTAGGTACACATTTCTGTATATTTTATGTTGTTCATAAGTGCCATTCTGTTGTTTAGCCAATGCTGCAAACCGTGCAAATGCATCCATTATTAGTGACGAGTACAAAAGATTACGAGCTTTCGACAGAACGCTGGAAAGAAATGACCGCGCATGATGTCGTCGTCGAGTGCGAACAGTACTCGATCGGGTTGAAAGATCGTTTCGCTCATGATGCCTGCTGGGCTGGTGGTGGATCTTCTTTTCGTTCACGTTCTGGAACTACAAACTCAGCTTCTCTTGGTATTAGCGTTTAAAATATTAGCTAGTAAATTAAATTCATAATTATTCGTTTATAGAGTCTTATAGTTTGTTGAAGAACATGCAATGTAATGTTGAGAATGAGACGTTCAGCCCTTCGCTGATGTTGAACTATATTCAAACACCTCCTGCGATGGGCAATGAAACGCCAACGTCAGCCATTCCAGTGGCGCAATTTATTCACCAACATCAGGTATGGAACAACTAACTCTGTGGACGTATTCAGTAATCTCTAAATTAATTTGTGCGCATTTGCAATTACAACTAACACTTGTATCACCTTGTAATTGGCATGGCTTGAATATGCAGGGAGCTGGACAGAGCTTATTAGCATCATCAACGCATCAATCACAAGAGGGGACTTCACCTCCCGAAGCAGCAATTGAAGCAACACCCGAAACCACGCCGATAAAGGTACATAAATGTTTTCCATTCCTCACACAACCAATCGATGTTATATAAACGTTATATTGTTTTAATTTGTCTGTGGTATTCACTTTTTATTTTTATTTAATTGATTCTTAGGTACAGTGGGTCAATGTTATATTGGTATATGCTTAAGGATTTTGTTTATGTTTTGCTTGTTCTGGTTTTTTGCGTAAGTTAAACTTCTTTTTATTCAAAGTGCATCGAGCCGCTCTGGGGTTCTGTTCGAATTGTGTTGGACATGTGTTAGTTTTATGCTTTCGTTTCTGGGTGGCTTCCGCAGGATATGCGGCTACTGATGTCGACGCGCCATCAGCAGCAGAGCATGGCACAGGTGAATGTTGCCCGTGCTCTGAACAATTTCGGTCCACGCAATCGGTCCGCGGGTGTTGGGTCACCGACAACGACGCCAACACATTCACAGCCCTCTTCGCCGATGCGCCTAGGCAATAAGGAACCGCTGAGTGCATTCAATTTCGCGCCAGCGACGGCGTACACCACCGACCATTTTCATCAACTGCATCGCTCCGCTTTCAATCAACCGATTAACAACAAACGCGACTCATTAGCTAACCAAAAGTTGGCGAAGATCATGCAAGACCGTTCGCAAGTAAGCGCACTCACTAACTCTCAACTACCACCAAATTTTATTTGTCTCATCATAATGTTTGGATCTTGGCTTGCTGTTTATTGGCTGCTTGTTTAAATTTAAGCACATTGATTTTTATCAATCATCAAAAACTATTGGTACCCCTAATTGAGTAGTTGAGGGAATTTTTTATTGTGTCATGAAATTAATTGAATAATTAACAGAGAGGATAAATTTTAAAGATTAACGATGGAACATCAGCACCAATCACGCAAATACCACCACCATCGCCGCTTCGTCTGATCCCATCTGAACCAATTAGCACCCAAACGAAACGAACGGAATCGCCGCTAAGTCAGGAAGACGAAGAAGTTCAAGCCATTATTGTGAAGAAGAATCAAAGCACCAAACCACATGCGCCGCTGCGACAATGTGACAGCGTTCTACAGGATCATGAACATAATCCTGACTGTGAGCAAGGATCCCCATGCACATCTGGTGGGTTACACATGCCGAACTCCAGGCAAATGACCGCTTTTAAGAATAACATGAAGCGGTTGAGGCATCATAGTCAGTGCGGACAAGAAGCGGACCCGATTAATGATTCAACTGGAAGCAGTCCTGGCAGTAAGTTTATCCATTCAAGAATTGTGCTTTAGTGCAAATTTAAATTGTTTTATTAGGCAAGGAAATAGTTATAACAAATGTGACGGTTCGCCGCGCCAATTCCTGTCCCGACATGAAAAAGAACACGTCAACCGCAACAGCCAAAGATGGTGTCGCAAAAACGTTAGAAGAGAAGGACGAAGAGGCTCCTGAAATAAATGGCTTCGAGCAGCAGGACGCTAAGAAAAAGATATGCACCACCAATGTCCTCACACAGACCGAACTGCCCTATGAATATTTGTTTCTTAGCATTTTTCCGGCGTACGAGTCGAATGACATTAAGCCATCGCCGGCCCCAAGTCCAGCGCCATTTTTTCAAGTTGAAAAGTTTAATTATGCGTCAACCTATGACGTTCTTGATAAATATATCGACTGTGCGTTTCAGTATCAAGCCGATGGTAGAGATACGGTGAAGTCACTGAAAGAGCAGTTACAGTTGGTGCAACAGCAGTTGATGTTTGAAAGGGCACGGCGCGAAACGCACGCAACTAAAAATCGCACACTCTTCACGGACGTAACTAAAATTAAGGTACTGGAGGAACACAATTCCGCGTTAACTGATCTCGTCAAGCTGCTCGAGCATGACAACTTCAACCTGAAGCAAAAGATTGATAAGGACAATCAGGACAAGCATTCTAGGATACAAGTTCAGATCGATAAGGTAAATTACTGGGAAAGTAAGTATAAATCGCTTACGAACGACTTCATTGCTGCGAGCGAGCGCATCGAAGACTTAAAAGAGCAGCTTAATATTGAAAGGAGCAAGCTGCACGACATCAACACTAAATGGCAGAAGTCCGAGTCTACTTTACTCAATGCTGAAGCGGAAGCGAAGGTAGAGAATTCTGGTCATCTAAATTATTGTTAATATAAATGTTAAAATGTATTACAGGTTTATCGGGAACAGGTATTAGCTGGCGAACGTGGTCGCGTTGAACTGGAACGTGTTAATCGTGAACTACTGCTTGCTGGCGAAACGATCATCAAATATCGTGAGAGATTCGCGGAGTTATCGGCGAGAAATGTTAGTGATTTCGAACGCACTCAATACACCGAGATTTATCAGCATGAGCTGAAGTCTTTGCGTAATCAACTGGAATTGAAGGCGACTACTTTGGAGGCCTATCGCGTGCGAATCGCGGACCTGGATGCCGCAATGCAGCAACACGAGAAGCTCATACGCGCCCATAAGAAGCTGCTCAACGATACGAAAGAAGAATGCAACGAAAAATTTAAAGCCATCGAGAGTAAGTATCAGTCGCAGTTGAGCATTAATCGGGCGCTCGAAGGGAAGATTTTGGAGATGTACCAGCAAGAAATTACGAGTCGGCAAGGACTGCACTCGCCGGACACGAGTAGTTGCCATGAAGTAAATGCTTCGACGGAGCGCACTACTGGCCTGAGTCCACATTCATCTCCTTTGTCCGCCTCATTAACTTCTTCTGAGGGAAGCATGGCTTTCATGCATAGTGATATGAAGAACTTACAGGTACTATACTGAATACTAGTATGTTTTTGCATATTTAACCTAATTGAGTCTCAATTTGTTAACAGGCAATAGTAGACCAAAAAGAGCCGAACGCAATGAAATCAAGTGCAACCGAAAATGATCTGAGCATGGAGGCGTGCTTGAACAGTTCGCCGGCGACCCAGATGGCATCGACCAGCAAACACACCGACTGATTTTTCAAACTTCAACACAATACAACAAACCCTAGGCGTATAAGTCACTTTTTTAATTATAAGATTTCAATAATGATTCAAGAATGAAATCACTCAAATTTCTGACAATGACCGACGTGCCAAGCAACTATGTTCAGTTTTCATTCGGGGCTGTGTTTTCTCAAGGCACTAATTGTTTTCTTTTTTGTTTGTTGAAATTTTATATAAAAATGCTTCAGAAATGCGATGTAAACTGAACAAAGCTGCGGTGGTCGGGCCAAAATTCGCCGCTATATTTTACCAGGTTGTTCATATTAGATAACACGAATTTTCATTCATCTTTTAAGCGAAAATCTAAATAATTTAATGAAATTTAGCTATTTGGCTTCCAGACATAGCTTTCTATTATATATGAATTGGGCATAAATGGCGTATAAGGATCCTGAAATCTCTTATGGAGTCTGTTCCGGGCACTTATACTGTGATTATGTTAATAATTGGTTCTGAATTGCTGAAAATTGGATGGAAAATAGTTTGGGAGATGATTACATATTGCGGAAAAATTTCATAAGTTATATTGTTAAAATATTGAAACTCAATCCTTCAAAATGTTGTCAACTGATTCCCAAAAACGAATGTTATATTAACAATAGGGTTTTGTATGAAAGGAAATATTTTACTCAAAGAGGTGTATGTGTGTGGTCAGGAAATAGGTTGACAATCATGTTGAGGGTTGACTTGTGATGTTTTTTTGTATGCAAAACCAAGTTATGTCTGCAAGAAATGATGAAGTGAAGAACATTGTTGTAAAGTTTTAAATTAGGCTGATTGTTATGATTGGTTATCAACTTACTCATCATTTTCCTTGTGAATGAAATAAGTTTATTAATTAACTAACTACAAGGAAGTGAAACAGAAGAAAGGTATATTATACAAATTGAAACTACTGCTTTGCATACTTTTTGTAAACTTATATTTTTGTAAATAATATGTAATTTTACAGCTTACTTAGCGTGCGCTTGGGCCTTACGCATCTGGGTAAGGATGTTGGAAAGTTCCTCACGCTTCCTCTTGGCACGGATGTGTGTGCCCAAACGACGCTTCAAGAATTTCAACGCACGCTTATCCTTGGAAACCTTCAGCAATTCCATAGCGCGCTTCTCATAGGGAGCGTGTCCACATACCTCGCGGATAAGATCACGAACAAACTTCGTGTGCTTGGTCTGGATGCCCTTTAGACGAGTGGGCCTGACTTTATCGGCCTTGGTCTTGCCAGAGGGGATTTTGGAGGTCTTGTGGCCCTTGTTGAGGCCAACAGCCATTTCATATCGGGGTGCCATTCTACAACAAAACACAAACGCATGTCAATATGTAGATATAACCTTTTGAGATAAGGGTAATGTTTTTTTGCCTTAAATACTAGTTAGAAAATGATTCTCTCACTTAAACTAATATCATGACTTACTAATTTAGGAGGAATAGCTTTAAAACTAATTCTTTCCCTATTTGTTACTTACTTTATCGTATATTTTTACGAGAACAACTACCGCGTGTCTCGCCACTCTGCTGTCAACCAACTGAAAGAAAGATGGACGCCATGTTTCCGGCAGCGCTGCCATCATTGACAATCAATCCTCCACCGCTAGTTGAATTTAAAATTAAATGTTTATAATGAAAACCATTTTAGAACATAAAGATTTATTTCACCTTTTAAATATTAGTTTTTAATTGACTAATATTTAGGATAACAAGAAGAATCTTAATTAAATTTGTATTATAAATGATCAGTGAACATTTCTTTTTACAGATGGCGCGGTATGTTTGCTTGATGAATAAAATCAGCAGGCTTTTAAGAAATTGATATTCTAGATGGCGCTGACGGTACGATGTGTAGGAAAATAAAAACGACACACATAACCATACTATCTTTTCATCAAACTTAATCAAGATTGTTTACATTAGTTAAAGTTTAATTTTTAACGATAATAACGTAAAATGGTTTGCGACAAGTGCGAAAAGAAACTCGGGAAAGTTATCACACCAGATCCATGGAAATCCGGCGCTCGAAATACTACAGACGGTGGTGGACGTAAAGTAAACGAGAATAAAGCCCTCACAGCTGCCAAAAACAGATTCAATCCCTACACAACAAAATTCGAGATATGCAAGTAAGTGGATGTTATAAGAATGCATTATTGATTATTGACTTGGATTATAACATGTTATTAATGTACCTTCGCAGAATATGCAAACAGAAGGTGCATCAAGTTGGTTCACATTACTGTCAATCATGTGCATATAAAAAAGGCATTTGTGCCATGTGTGGCAAGAAATTATTAAGCACCAAAAACTACAGACAATCATCTGCTTAATTCTGAACACAGACTTTTATTATTTATAGTTTAATTTCACTAACCAAGTGTACAATTAATTATAAGGACTACTACAGTAATTTAGTGTAATGTGTAAATAATATATTTAAGTGAATTGCATATGATACTTCTGTGGTAAGGTATTTAATAATTTTTGGTTAAGAAATATTTTAAAGTAGCAAGACAAAGTTAGTAATATGCAATTATTTGCTTCACTTGTGAGTAAATATTAAAGTTAGTTTGTGAAATATAAATTTGTTGTTTAAAATAAATTACAATCTCATGGTATACTTGGATTAGGGACTCCCATTGACCGAAGAGAGGAATGAAGTGAAATTTGGAGACCAGCAACTGTTCTGCTTGACTTAAGACAAGGTTAGTGATGAATTATCAATATTTTAACCCCTTCAATAATATATTTTTATATATATGTACTGTATAAAACCCATTAGAATTTAACATTTAATTATGTTGAGCACTTAAAACATAAATTATTTGATAGAATATGTACAGAACCAGTTTTGGTTTACAATAAAATGTATATAAAAATATAGTATTAGATAAACTCATAACAGCTTCAAATATAATAAAGCATTTTTGTTTTTGACTAAGTTACATAACATTAACTGCATAAACATTCTGCACATTGAATTTTTAAAATTCAAACATGGATGATTCATTTAAATTAATACTTTTCTATCAAGTTTTCATACAAATACTGAATGCTTTCATTAAAGTTATAAAAACTAATTAATTTTCACGAATAATTTCAACAAAAATGATATTTATATACAATCTGGTATACAAATTTCAAGTTCTAGTTGTGAATCTATTATTATTAATATTCGCATATGGCCAAACGCTTGGCACTGTGTTCCCTTGTTGAATACTTTTATGAAAATGCGAGTGCGGTAACGGTAATTTCCCTAAATGGTCATTGAAGTATCGTGATTGTTTAAGTGAAAGAGATATGGCACCTAAAACTATGTAATACAATTCTCTCATGTACGTATCATTCACGCAACGTTCATTTGTGTACGCCGCTGTCATACTTGGATTCCGTAACGGAGATGTTTGTAATTGACTGATCGTTGGGATTAAACACCCACTGTCGGAAACTTTCCACATTTCCAGAGCTGCCATTCGAGGAAACGTGAACGATATCGTCGACGCTGTCAGACTTCTTAGGTGGCACCGGAGGTTTGTTACCGTATGTCGGCAGACCCGACGGTATTCTCGAATTGTTACGAATTGAGGTAACCGTTACGTTTTTGTTTTTATTTGGATATTTAGACGATACCATCTCTAAAATCTCTTTTGTGTCTTGTTCGTTATCAGCGCGAGAATCCCGTCGCTCCGGTGACGTGGGCGGTGTCTTATTCAAAACGGGAATTCGTGATTTAGGGGGACTAGTTTCACTTCTCACGTGCCTGGGCGGACTGTTACTTTTTTCGAAATTCGAACGCAGAATTTCGATCTGCGACATGCGCTTCTCTGGAGGTTTAATTTGACTTTCGTAGCTTGATGTTGTGAATCGCATTTCGGGAAGTTTTTTCAGTTGTTCCTCGACTATTTCATTCACTTTTTGCAGCTCTTTTTCAGGATCAACACACACCACCTCATTTACAGTTGTTACTGTAGTTGTAACAACGTTGTTTGTTGGTGATTCGATGGTCGTCGGTGTGTTGATAGTTTCTGTAATGCTTTGTATGTTAGCTTCAAAGTTGTTGATGTTGCTTTCGAATGTTTTAATATTACTCTCGAATTTTTTAATGTACTGCTCGAAGTCGTTGTCTAGTTTATCATCAATTTTAGGTACTATATCAATTTCAGGAATGTCGTCTATTGCCTCCACTTTCTGTGGAGTAGTCACTTGAATTTCTGTAATGTATGTTAAAGACGAATGTCTATTATCTTCGTTTTCATCCGGTGCCGCAACTTCCAACTTATTAATATCACCGTTTGGTTTCATCTGAATGCCATTTTGTTGTTTGATCTCGATTTTGTTATCATCACTCGTGGCACCTGCATTGGATATTTCCAATGTTAGAGATGTAGGTCCATCAATTGTCACCTCATTGTTAACGTCGTGAATAGCTTCCGCTATCGTTAAGTTCTTAATTAAATCAGGCGTTGTTATACTGACACTTTTGTACATACCCTCCTCTGCCTTGTCATTAACGTTTTCGTATTTATTTTGATGATTTATGGTAATATTACTGACGTTTGTAACATGTACATTTTTCACATTTTTATCATTTTTCGGCATCTCAAGTGAACCAAATGTGTGCCGAGAAACTTTAATGTCGTCTGGAATATTCGTGTCTTCGTGTTTATCTAATTCTGGTATATATTTTGAACTGGCGTTTCGTTCGGCTTGCAAAAAGTCGGATACTTCCAGTAAATTGACTACCGGCGTTTTGTCTTTCTCGTTTACATTCACAATCTTAGGCTCATTAATTTTAATGGGCTCTTGGTCGCTTCTAGTCGATAATGTGTTCGGACTCATGTTAACTTCGATTTTTTCTTTAATAATTGGTTTACTGACCTGCGTAATACTAATCGGAGTGCTTTTGCCGGAAGTGGGAGTAATATCAGTCATTATAGCCGTTTTCATTGATTTCACTTCTTCCTCTGGTTTAATGTCGTTTATAATTTCTATGTGTACTTCCTCACTTTCAGCGTCCTTATTTTGGAACGGCCAAATTACGTTTTTCACTCGTTTTGTAGCTGTTACAATCGGACTGTCGTCAAATTCCTCCACATTTCGAATAATTTCTGGCATCGGTTCATCTTCGATTTTCAAGGATACTTCATTCACATTGGCAGCTGGTTCGATTCCATTGTTTACATTTTCGATAATATGAGAGACTTCCTTTTTAGAAATCTCTACTTCTTTAATATGTTTGTCTTGCTCGTTTATGATGTCCATGGTTTCTTGTTTGATTTCATTTATTTTATTTACAAGCGCATCAAATTCAGGTGATTTGGCACCGAAATTGAAATTTTTATTGAAATTTTCATTTGATATTTTGAATTCTTCTTCACTGCTATTCTGAGGCGTACTTTCATTGCTGCCCTGCTTGTCCAAACTCAAAATGGCGTCTTCTAAATTACCCCATTCGGTTGACTTCTTGAGTCGGCTGCGTTGGAATGTGTTAAGCCCATCCAAAATTAAGGAAAGACGTGGTTCTTTGTTAACCAAAGAACTACCATACAGACTTTCATCGGAGGATGTTTTCGATTCAAAATCATCGATCTTTCCTGCTTTGCGTTTCTTAGCAGCCATGACAGGCATTCCTGTGTCTGTAATATCCAAACTTTGCGCACGCTCAAGGGTACCGGTACTTGTTTTTCTCGTCTTTTGAATTTTAGACAAATCTCCGGTACTTGCAGTTTTGCGATTTTGTTTCTCATCGCTTTCTTCACTTTGATGAATCGTTATATCACTCGCGTTTAACTCGATCGTGTTCACCGAAGATTGATTGTCTGTCTCAACGTCCGAATCAGAGTTGTAACCCTTCAAATCGCCTTTTAATGCGTCTGTTTTATTTTCTTGGTTTGCTTCTGGGGGCGCCGGCGCTTTACCTTTCTTCTTGTTGGGGCTCTTCAACTCTTCTTCCTCCATTGACTTGCGATTCTTTCTAGCAGCAACAGCAGCATTCATCATGGTGCTGGGAATTTCCAGCGGAATATTATTCTCGTCCCGTTTTATACCTGAATTGTGGCGTTGAAAAACGTCTTCCTCTGGTTTAATTTCAATCTCTTGTTTTTGCTGCGCTTGCTGCTGCAGTTGTAATTTCTCCCGCTTTTTTACTGGTGGTGCCTGTTGTTGTCGCTGCTGTCGATTTTCATTTTCGTATTGCAGTTGATCCTTCTTTTTGCTCTTGTCGACTTCATCGATGCTCATTATCGGCGCAACCAGCTCGTTTTCGTGATTGATGTTATTCACGTTCTGCGTCTCTGCTGATTTAGTGGGACTCTCCAACGGCGGAAGTACTTGAATTCCAAACTTGTGCACTTTATTCTCAGTGTTTTGCACTTCCGTTTCAATTTTCCGCGGCACCTTTGGGCGTAAATGCTCTTTGTATTCGATGTGATGCTGATCGACTTTTGTCTTTTGCGTGGTTTTCATCACGGGTTTGGGCGATTTCGATCTGCTACGCTCCAAAGTGGGCACCATGCTGTTGTGATTCTTTTGGAGACTAGAATAATTCGAACCAAAGTCGCTCGAATCGTCAAACAATCGTTTCTTTGCTGATTTCTCCATCTACGGCGCAGAAATATACGCTTAATAAGGCGATTATGTGCGGATTACAAGAAACCTACCTGATTGAGTTCCATATTACTCGAGCTGCGATAGATTGGATGTAGCGGTCGTCCAACTTGCCCGGAATAATTAAACGCCTTTCCATTTTTGGCCGAGACGATGATTTCGTAGGGGCTTGCGTAACTGAGGATCGCCAGCGCATCTTCGTACACCATATGCTCGAAGCTGATGGTGACGCTTTGAATGCGATCGCCGGCGTTCAACTTCTTTGATTCTGAGGCGGGCCCGCGATGGAGTATGTCCTTAATGAATATTCCATCTTTCATGTTGCCGCAAATATTGAAACCGAGGCCCGTGAAGTCATGGCTTCGTAGGGAAACATGCTTCACTTGATGCTAGAAACCGTAAAAAAAGCAAAACAATGTAATCATAAATTCACATTTCAACGTCTAGCTTCCTACCTCCAACTCGGAATCATCTAGCGTACGTTTCTTTTCGTTCTTCGCTGTGAGAACACCCAGAGGTGACCATTGATTCCACTTGGTCTTGAGATTCGTTTCAAGTTTTGCGCCGGACTTTTCGGCCGACTTCCCAACCGGTGACAAACCTGCATCTGGGTGTTAATAATACAATCATGATTATAATGCAATATTTAACATATTTAAATGAGTTTGTCATGGAATTGTTAATGCTGATATGTAAATTTGATTCCGTTCCATCATGCCGAAACGTGTCGCCATGCAGGCACAAAGAAAAAGAATTTCTCCAACGTTATGAATGAAAATGAATATTTCATGGTGTCGCAGAGCGGCGAATTGTCCAAAATAATATATTTCGAATTTACAGTTAGGTGTCGTAATCAACCGCATTAATAAAATATTCATATTGATGTTGTAAACACGATTTTTATGTTGGCGTAGAAATTGTGTTTATGACCGAGTTTAATGTCAAGGTTAGTAGGTATCAAATTTTACCTCGGAATCCCGGATTATCGAACGCATATTCTCCTTTGCCTTTTTCGGGATCGGTTTCCAGTATTAGATGTTGACCTGCAACGACACAAATTAAATATAATAATCGGGTATCATGTTTTCAATTAAAATAATTCAGGATGAAAAAGATGCGCTGTACACATAATCAAGTATACTATTTATGAGACTGTTTAACATCACGCAAAGTCATTAAATAATGCATTTTCTACGGTACCTCTTATAACTCCTCATTAATTATTAAGTGTACATTAGTCATTAAGAAGAGCCGGAGAATAATGTACCAATAACATAAGCGCAGCATCATGCATAAGCTCAACTTGAGGTCTGGTTGAATTAATTGAAGATCTGCGAAGCGCATCATGCTCTCACGCATTAAAGGTATAATATTACACGATGTGCCTTGATATTATTATACTTGACTAGTTGTTAGACTAACCTTGACTAATTACGTATTAGATTTTACTCTTAAATAGATCTTCAAACACATCGATTTATAAACAAAAACAACATTATGAAACCTCGGAATATTTTACGTAAACATATACACAATATGAAATCAGGAAATGTTAGACATTATGAGTATCAATATTAAATAGACATACAGAATTCTATCCTATTATGCATATATATTATTTTTGCATAACGCTTTGAGTAATATTTATTTTATAATAATGAACTATTTTGTAAAATTTGAATTTGAATTGAATTTATATAAATAATAAATTTTACTCGCGACTAAAAATAATATTTGTTGATAAAAAAATGGAATTCGGAACAGTTTAAAGTAAACTATAAATATGTGAGCAATTTTATCTTTCAGATAAATATTTAACATTGACAAAAATTTAAAGCATTGTCAAAAATATGTGTTTGGAATTGAAAAAAAAACTAAACTAATGTTTGAATTTCATTTAACTTCTTGATAATTTTAAATTAAAACTTCGCGAGTTGCTCGAATAAAAGAACTTTTTCCCAGACTAAATATTAGTACAATTAAAATTATTATCAAACTGAATTGAAACTCTAGTCATTTCTTCAAAGATAATAAATAAACTTCCTTGGATTTCGTCAGTAAAACGATACTGGGAACGTCAATGTGCAACACACTCCGGCGGGTTTGGTTGCTATAACCCGAGGCAATTAACATTCCATTACTAATTCTTGGGCTCTTGGGAGCCCGAACGCGTGGAAGGTGCTCAAGAGTCGTCCGGCCTGCGCGTATGTAAAGCGTAAACGTACGCATAATACGCAAAGTTCCATCGAGACGATTACCATTTTATTTATACTACAGAATACAAGCGGTGCGCGCAAACCCGAAGCTTGATCGCGGCGAACTTTTTCACAGCTCGACACAATCAAGACGAAGATCGAGGATCAAAGTTGCCTGAATTCGCTTCTAGGCGAGGGAAGCGCGATGAAAGTTATTCGCACGACGTGCGTTGAATCCTCATACACAGATACACACACCTGCACGCGTCATTAAACCTGAAGGAGCGTTGAATAAAAATTCACTATTGCATGATTTCAGGCGCTGCAAGAGGCCAAGCGACAAATATCCCAACTTGAATATTACGAGAGAATGCATCGCCGCTTGAGACTTAAGATAACGGTCCATTATAAAATTTTATCCTCATGTGTACACCAGTGTGTATGAAAGGTGTGCATTGTGTCGTTAAATTATCCCTTATTATCAGTGTTCGTGAGCAAACACACTTGATACTTTACTTTTCACACAAGACGTCAGGTTGGCAAATGAACACTGAATTGTTTGCCTTTGTCATGTTAAATGAGCAATATTTATATTATACCTACTTTAATTTATTAGTGATCATCAATAATAATCTTGGAGATATGCACAAATACAATCCGCAAACAAATAACGTATATATAAAAAAGTAATATTTATTGCTTTATTATTGCTCAGTGGAATTTTCTACGAAGACATCCCCACAAAAGACTTGTTTATATTTGCTTGGTTTTTTTATGTGCTCGTAACTCAAACGAATCAAACATATTTATTTATGTGCAATTTAAACAGTGTTTTGTTTAGTAAACTGTAAACGAATAGACATACTTCGCGAAATGTAATTTACACTGTGGGTTAATGATTATTGCGGTGGCCGGTAACGCGGTTACAAAATTAAATTACAAACATTCTATGAGAAGTCCGGCCGTCGGATATTACCGGTAATGTGTTTATTATTTATCAATGAAACTTTCTAAATGTTTATTTATGTTTGCACAACTTCATTAACATAGCGATCATTAGTGCGAACGCTGAGTATTTATTTGTTGGAGTTATTAATAAGTAAATTACTCCAAAAAGGAAACAATTATATATTTTTAAATATATCGCGCACCGGATGGCAGCACTGAAGTCGCAGCTAAGTAAAAATTTATACCTGCGCACTCTTCTTATCATCTGTGGCGCGTCTTCTACTATCTGTCAGTAACCTATGTGCCGAGTGTGGTGTTGTGTAGTTGTCGTTAATTTCACGCTAAAAATGGTGAGTTATATTGTTTTTCTTATTAATTGTTATACAATGTCGGTAAGAATTAGTATATACCTCACAATTAAGTCACCCTCGAATATAAATGTACCTAGAGAATTGTAAATGACGCATAGAGGAAATGAAAAATATATTCATGTTCACATGTTTATTTACATGTCGTAAGTAAGGTGTGTTTGGGATTTTTTAATTGCCAAGCTTAACTTTGACTCGCGGGACAAGCGAGACAACAGACAAATATTACCCGCTGCGCGTTCGCACCGAAAGCAACAGCGAACAGGCATATTTAGCATAGTAGAAATTACTCGAACGAGGTCAAGTCGCGAGAGTCAAATATGAAAATCCACCGCAATGCACAAGCACAAGAGTCGCGTTGCGATAGATAGCGCATTGCGGCGAGTTCATGCAGCCAGCCGTGTATGAATGTGTGTGTATTGGTCGCATGCTCATAGCATTCGGCGTCATAATATTCATAATCGCTGCACGGTTAAACGCGCGTGGAAATATTGGAATTAGATAGACTTCGATAGATATACCTGGCTGGCTGCGTCTCGACACATGTACATTGTCGGCTGTTTTCGAGGCGAGGTTGAGAGATTTGCGAGTTATGGTTTTATGAGCACGACTAATGAAATAAATCAATTTAGAATTTTATTGTGAATAGCAAGAATACATTTGGGGTTTTTAGGCACAAGTCGTGACTTGAAAGAGATTTCATTTGCAAATTTATTGCATTTTTATTGCCGGTTATTGTCAAAATAAAATGGAAGCGCGTTTAATTGTGCACTTAACGTGACACCTGTCAATAGAATTTCTCTTGATACATCGACACAGTTTTCAGTTCTCATGTTTGGACGTTTGACACAAATTGTTGAGAGTTGTATTTTACTTTACGAGCGATAAGATTTTTTCCTGCATTTTTACTTGAAAATTTCCATGTTTAAATAGCACAACGCATTTAAGTTCGAATTTTATTTACAAATATTTTTTAACTTTCAATACAGAAATAAGAATCTATTTTGCATTCACTTATTTAATTTGCCGTAAATAAATCATTTTTTACTTTTCCTAAATAATAAATCATATCTATGATGTATTACATCTTGTTATCCGTATATTTATTGCTTGTAGAAATTTGGCGCGTTCAGCAAAGATTTTCTATACTCGTGTAAACTGATCTTGTTAAAATTATATCAATTACGAATTGGCCGTAGTGATATGATGAATGTTCGACCGCAATATAATTGAATAATTGGATGAAACGTTATTCCATTACGTGCGCCGCACCGTACATCACACCGCAAAACGTTGGAATATCAAAGGATGTGTTTGTGTAACCGGAACAAATTCCGAATATTTAGCAGAGCGTAATACACGATTCACAATTACCATTCGCGCAGAATCATAATATTTCGCAGCCACCGGCCGACAAACGCGGCTATCCGCCCAGGCATCAATGCACGGCCAATGTAGGAGACTTTTTGTTATGCTACGTTTTTGAAATCATTGGAATAGCGCTGCAATTGCAACGTTTCATTCGTGCTGAAAATAATACAAAACTACATTTGTGCATGTTGGAATTTAAGAGAGCAAATATCTATAATGGAATTTTCATATTTTTAGAATGACCAATACAATTGAATAGAAAGATCTTGGGATAAAATGAAAAAAACATTTTTATCAATCACGTTGTCTCTCTTGTGCGATAAACAACACAACTAGCTCTCTACATTTCGATTTACATTTATTCATGCGTTAAAAAACAAGCGCTGATTTATTTCAGGATTAATTGGAAATGCGTAGTTTCTTGATTTATCGGTGATTAAAAATATCAGCAAAAGTATAATTATGGCAGATTTTCTCATCGCTGCATTAAACATTCCTTTCATCGCTTCGACAAATTGCTACCAAACACAATCTTTGATTATCTTCAAACACCATAGAGTTTAATTAGCATTTCCAGATCATTCTTTACTTCATGGTTGGATATTAATTAACTGCAACAGTTAACGTAATTAAAGAAAAGCGGTATTTCAACTACCTACATGTATAAAAATGTTAAAGCCAATACTCGAGTATAACGACGTAGTCTAGCTGCACTATGACAATGAGGAATGTGGAAACCCCGACTTACTGCGCAGCAAGTGCACATGTATCGAATTATTTATCGATATGCGCATTTTCAGTGCATTCAGCAATGCTAATAAAACACGTGATTGATTAATACAAATTCTATGCAGTTTTGTAATTTTATTACGGCAATCACCTACATACAGAACGCATTTAGTTGATAACTAATGGTGTCAAACATTAGATAGGTTTTAAAATACCGACTTTTTCCAAAGGTGAAATCATAGAGTACGTACACATGTTATATCTACAACCAGCACAAATGTTTTAAGGACAAAGCCACTATGTTTCCGGTTGGAAATGTATGCCACAAATCGAATTTGATAACGTATATATTACCTACATGTTGCATCATAGCTAATATACTCGCAGACTTATTTTAAACATTTGACAGCAATAAAACGTTATTTCCGGCTGCGTTTATGCAATAACTTAATTTAAAGTGTAAAGCGTAAGTCACTTAAATGCTCGTAATGGAAATGGTTTTATGCATCCTGTTCCTTCCATAATTGCATTGTCCGCTCGTAGACGAGGAAGGATATCACGTTCCTTCATACAAACGTGCATAGAACTTGTCGGGATTCGTAGTGGTAAACATAACTTATTTGCATTTACACAATATGACAAAAAAGGAATAAGTACAGTTCGCCGTTTTGTCGCATTGAGTATGGTCGGCGTCCGTTGAACATGCGCGTGATGAATTAGTTTACTGATTAAAACGATTGCTGCTGTGACGGTCGCCTTGATTATATTATTGAACATATTCATCGGCTAATCAACAATCTGTTCACTGTTACATAACGTTACAAAACGTATGACGTGACTGGTGAATTTAATTAAGCGGTCAACGGTTGAATATTGTGCGTACGTGTGAATAATGCCGTCAAAACTAGCAGAACGTCTCTGACCACTTAATGATTCATTCCAAAAAATATATAAATGATTAATTACATGTGTAAAAATTCAAGTGAAGTATCCGTTCCGCTATTGTGAGCTGAAATGAAACTGTGAATGGGAAAAATGTCATTAACGCAATTAATTCGCCCATTGTTAAAACTGCCTTTCCACACTTAGCTGCATTAGTACCTAATCTCGGCATCATCTAATAACTAGGTGACTTGCTTTCAAAATGAAACTAGACGTTACAAGTAGCAAATGAATTAAAAACGCTTAACGTCGACGCGCCGCATCTGTCAACTTTTTTCATTCATCGATGTGTTGAATGCAGTTTCTTTTCAATTGCTTTATACTATCACACATGAGATCATGCGCCGCCAACTCGTACCACATTACAAGTGCGCCATTGAGATCGCCATTCAGCGGTGAAAAACTTGATGGAAACAAGGAGGCGAAGAACAAACACGCGGTGGCACTTGTTTCGCTTGCGTGTTACATGCGTGTGCATTTGATGAGAGGTTAATATGGAGAATGGCAAAGCTCGGTGAGCACGGTTTGCACTCTAGATTCACAAAAGTGGCAGAAAAAAAGAGTGGACTTATAAGTACCACGACGACGACTTGTTCAGCGAACGGGGTATCTTTTCCGAGCATTCGGTTTCCATGTTTGGCATCGGAATGGATTAAACGGTACGTTAAGTTCTGCTTCACTTAACTACAGGTAGTTACAATATTTACTTAAATATTGCCGTAACTTTTACTTCAATTATTTCAATTATATCTAACTTGAATGCGAACTTGAAGTAATTTTTTTGTGAGATTTTTATTCAGGTTTACAAATTTCTTTACCTCAAAAAAAACATTAAATTCTTTTTGTGGTTGAAATTAAGTCGAAGTTAGCCTCAAAACAAAAAGTTCAAGTTTAATCATTTTCGAAAGATCATCGAACAGTATCGACAGTCCATGTCCATCGCAGCCACATATTATATGTTGTTCTGCTACGAGCGCCTTAAACTCTAAAGTATCTCTGCCCATCTAGAATCAGAATAACCTGTTGTCTTGTTTGTAGTTTGTCTATATACTTTATAGGTAATTCATGCATGTAAGTACATATGGACGTTCCACTGCCTTACTTTTGACTGGTTTTTGTAATTACGGACGGCTCGCCAACCGAAGAAGCGCCGTTTTTCGTCGTGTTCGAAACGAAAGCAGCCGCCGAAGAAACCTTCGGTGAATGTGCGAACGGATGATAATCGTGCGTCTCGTGCATGCTGGGCTGACTTATCGTAATCGATAAATAAACAATCTGTGCTCTCGATTATAACGATGGCGCGGCGCGAAAAGAGCAAGTGACCGCGGCGCGTAAAAACGAATTCAAATGAGTGAGAATGTGAAACTGTCGAAAAGTAGAGGAAGTTAGAAGTTATGCAAATGTATAATAAAACAGCTCATTTATCTTCAACTTCAAAATTAAAGCCTAATGGTAACGAGCTCAGAGGCCATTAACGCGTTAGATTTGCTCTTTCACTGGACTCTAGATTCGTGCGACTTGAATTTTAATTTGATGGTGGTTTCGTTTATAATTAAGATGTTTTGATAATTTTGTCTAAAGATCTAAACTTAAACTGATTTCATTCAAACGTAGATTCTTTAGAATTTTATTTTTTTAATACACCTGAGAAGATGTGTGGTTAAAAGGTGTGAGGTCATCGTTTAATTCATAAAGTCAATTTACATTTATTCTATGACTGCCTATCAATTGGCTATTATGCAAATAATACTTAGAAAACAACGCTTTTGTATTTACTCCCGCCACGCATAGCAATAATAAGTAAGCGTCAACGAAACAATAACGTGACTGTTTTATAAAATGCATCAAATAATTCATGAATTTTAGATGCCACATCAGAGCATCCAAAACGCAATTGAATGAAACCCAAGAAAAGATATAATATTCATGATTGTGTTACGAATTTGGTGTGTGGATAGGTCACATTTTCATCGCGTGTGTTTTAAACGTATTCAATGTGGCAAACAACGATGAAACCACACGCAGACGGTGACCATATTTGTTTAACAAATGACTAATTCAAATACTTTTGGAAAATCAACCTACGCGATGTGCTCAAACTTGAAACGCGTACGACCAATCTATCCAACTAAAGATAGAACATTTGAACCGATTCATAATTTAGTAGGTCTTTTGGGCTATTATGTTTTCGACCACTCACCTTTTCTTGCTTTCCAATACTTGCTGTACAGGAAGAAGACCAATCCGGCGAGGAGGAATCCCAAGATCAGCGTCAATACGACGCTGAGCGCGATGGATCCGGCGCCATAGCAGCTGCCATCAGCTTCTTGTCCTTGTGCCACGTGCGCGAAGCATAACAGACACAAGAGCTGCAGTGATGTCGTATACATGAGTACTAATCGTTGCCGGAAATTCCGTAAATCGCAAGATCTTCTACTCCGATTGGCGACGTTCCTATTTTATGCGTGATGATGATTACCTCCGCATCCTTGGTAGAGCGGTGATATTTCTGCCCAAAGGTAAGTGACAATTTTAATTTTCTATGGACACAGAGAACGAAATTATGTAATTAAGTTGAATGTTTATTTTAAATTAAGGTGGGAGACATATAAAATATAAATACACGTTATAATGTAAATGAGTCAGACTAAAATGCAATACTAGTAATAATTCAACATTTGTGGCGACTGAAGTCAAGGTTAAACTTATTTTTAGTCGGGTGTCCTAGCATTTGATGATCAATAATTTGTGTTCTGTTTGATCGATTCGTTACGTACATTTCGAATTACTGTTATGTTTGTTGCATTTTGATATGAGTCAAGATGGACATCAGATAGTGAATACTAAATAATAAATCAGAATGAATTGTCAAATCGCAGATGGATGGAATACTATGGCATTTAAATGATTTGTAAATTTGACAGTAGGTCACAAGTAATTTGAAGATTTGGCTGCGTGATTGTTCATTACACGTACGATTAAAGCATTTGGCAATTCCGCAACAATTCATTTCTCGTAAAGAAAATAATAAATTGTGCAATCTCACGCTATTTTATTTATTGCAACAGTTGTGAAGTATGCGATGTTTAATAAAAATGACGAAGAATATTTGTACTTATCCGAAAAAAAAACAACTTAAAAACGAAGATTTATAGTAAAATATAATCTGACTAGATGACATGGAGAAATTCGTGTAAAATATTTAAAAATGCATGTGAAAAGTATGTCAGTGTTGGATGGACTTTATTAAACTCATATTTCTTTTCAATTGCATTTTAAAATACACAAGCGTTTGTTTATTCAACAGGCTAGAATCTATAATAGAGTTTTTCATCAATTATGAAGAACACTTTCTATTTATTGAGCATAAATGACATGCAATAATAACCGTCGTTGGAAATGTTTGGAATACGTTTTAAATATATCCATACATAGTTGATGCGTGCAAATCCCGCTCACTTATCGATAGATTAGATTCATTTTGCCGTGCAATTGAAGACATGCACTCAATTAGCAAGTACGCTTGTCGCTTTCATTGGAAAATAATCGCGTCGCGAGTCATGCGCTAAGTACACGCGTTCGTGCATAAAAAGAGCACGTTCAGCGTTCGCTGTTTGCTTTAGTTTCATTGCTCAAACAGATTCATTTTAGGTCATACCGACAAACGGATTGAAAACAGCATGCGCACCTTGCTAGATAATTATCACCACACCATTTCAACAAACATTTATAATCTTTTTTTCGTCCAGCTCTTTTTTAAGCTTTTTTGTTGAAAATATCATGAAAATGATGTCGTCTGGAATTAATTAAGCAATTATATATTGCGAGACTTATAATTTGCATGTGGTGATAAATTTATTATGCTGATTAAAAATGGAAAATGCGTAACGAGCGACAAGTTATTGCATATTTCACAATAATCGGAATTTCAACGAATGCAAATGATTTTAATTTAATAATATTCATTCAGAGAAAGTGTAAATAAGTATAGTCTATAAAAATAATTGTTCCAATGAAAATTATTTAGTTTACATGCAATAAATGACATTCATATCAAATATTAAAATTTAAATTTCACTAGAAAGTTTTATATTAATTATAAATATAAAATTATATTATATAAAATTAATTATAAAATGAGTTTTCGTGTAAAGACGTATTTTCTTAATGTTGCGCGTACAAAAACTAAATTTTAATCATTAGTTGGATTGTGCAATGTCCGTTTTATGGGACTTTTAATTGGAATCTATTAATAAATAATTATTAATTTTTTATAACTTTCAAATTCAACTTGTTAATATTTAAAGAAGCCTCAAACCTGCACTACTAGGATCAATTTGATGTTGGAATTATTGTGGTTGGTTAATGTATTCACGTTAAAGTTAAACTATAAAATGCTTCCAAGTAATGGATAGCTTTCGTGATCATGCGGATGGCATTAAATGTATTAACTATTAATGTATACCAGCGTTTTAAATTTTTAATGCTCACGAATCATTATTTCGTAGTTTTTTCAAATTAATTCCAATCGTTTATATCGTACATATTGCACGCCCGAACTGAGCAGCCGAGGAGCGTAAACTCTTTCTAATGAACGTTAAAACTCGTATTAAAAACAACATATAATTTAAAATTTTCACGGTTGTGCAAGTTGTAAAACTGACGAAATTACAAACTCGTTTATTAATATTTTAATTATATTTCATTTCATTTAATATGCATTTAAATTAAAGACTAAACGAATGTTTATCCGTGTATGTATTCAAGTACAGGTTTATTTTAAATATTGAATATTATTGCGATTTTGGAATAAATCAATTTACAACTGGAATTTCTCAAGAAAATATCGAAATGCTAATGTGTCAAGACATGTTTGCTTACGTCGCAACTACTGTCGCGCAAAATATTTATCGCAGTGTTTAGCAGTTCCATACTTGGATGTTCTAATATGCGCAATGCGACATAAACCCAAATAGAGCGATAATAATGCCTATTAACGACTTCACATTAACGTATGGTCTCTTTAAACTTTTATATAAACACACAATTTCACTATTTTCCGCGCAGTAAATTTAATTTCAAGATGGGTAAAATTTTCACCTAACCGCACAGAAACCTTTCTATTTTAAAATTACCAAAAGCCATTGCATGCTAATTAAATAGTTGTTAGTAAGTACTAAATGTTGATCAAAAGCAGGTGCATGCCCACAGGTAAAAATTTCTTTTACCTTCTGCGCTGCAGTATAATTCAACCTTAAAAAAAGATTTTCTATGACAATCTTGACATACCACTAACTAAATCTAGGCAAGAGATATTTCTCAAAGACAATAATACTCCATTCATCAACTGGATACTCGATACTCACTTCTTGTAAGTAGCACAAACGTAAATCCGAACTTAGTTGGTGTTGCATGTAAATGCATTAAATACATTCATCTATCAAATTACAAATACCTACATCCACTTTAACATAGCACACATTCGTTAATTGAACCTTCGCCGATTGGCAGATTTTAAAATGACGACTTTGAAACAATGTTATGTTTGCGAAAGATTTAGTCGTGAACAAAATAGCGAACGAAGTAAACAAACATAACATACTTATTAATCTAGAAACGTGCACAGCGCGCTTACCAACTCCGCAAGTAAAACGAAAGTCCGCCCTTGAAAATTAAGACATGATCGGAATGTTAAGTAAATATTAGACTTCAGACTTCAGTAGGTTTCGACGTCAATGACGAGAACGCGCATACCTCTTGCAACCATACCATATCATCATCAAGAGAGAGAAAATGAACGATTACACTTGGTAGGTACCGAGTTAGAAGTTATAAGTTGGGTTTACTTGCGCATTAAAGTCTGATACTTGATGAGACATCGCGACGCGACTGAAATATGTACCTACTGCATTGGTATCGCATGACAATTTTACGAATTCCAGAAATGCTTTCACACTTAGATTCTGAATGCTGCCAGCCGCACGTATCGCATGGCGCATTAGCTATGGGACAATGCGTTTTGAAGTAAAGAGTAAGGACACCTGAAGCCAGCTTTAAATTGTTTCAAGCAAGTTATACTTGTCGTTAAATGTTATTTAATGGTTGATAAGTGTGAAATGCACCCGAGCGCGAAAACATTGTTTGTTGGTGAGTCGCTTGTCGCTTTTTGCATGTTGCGCTTGATAGTCAAGGACATCTATCAAACGATTTGTTCCACGCCAACCAAGTTAGCATAGTTAAGTAGTGGTAATTACAACGCAAAAATGCGTGTGGGCTGCCAACATTTGAGCATCGATTACATTAAATTTGAAGATGATCGTGGCTTGGTATGACATTATATGACAGCAAAATTATGGTTGTAAAAGTTAATGAGTGCTTAATTTGATATAATTGTGTGTTGCAACTAATTTGTAACTCATGGAAACATCAACTCACGTTATCGCGGTGAATTTCGCGTGTAATAGTATCCAAACGATTTGATGGTAATCCTTCGGGGTAGGTTCACAAGTCACTAGCTACTCATCAACCAACAAAGTTAGACAAGTATATTGTCTTAGATAATATTCAATAAGCTATTGTTTATGATTAGACATTTAAAAAGTTGAAAACTCGCGCTGTTCAGACCACCACGCGATACGAAACTCACGACCGCGGCGAAACGAATAAGAAATGGAAACGCGCGAGGTCTGAGTGCGACTGCGACCGGGACCGGCGCGCACCGTCGTCGTGCCACTCTTGGAGAGCACAGGTATCCACGTATGCGCCGCATACCTGGTGTTATGTATTACGCCTATATACGGCTGCTCGCATAGCTGTGTGCCGCTGTGCCACTCGGTACACCAGGTAAATAAACGAGGATTGTTGTGTGTGTGCGCCGGGCGCACAGGTGAACAGGTTCTGCGCTCGCGGTGACTGACTGTGATTTGCCAACCGACCCAGTCGGGCCCAGCAGCTAAAATCCTGGCAGAAACTCGTTGTCCGAGCAGGTCGACGCAGGTGTATGATACAGCGTCGTGGGCATCGTGAGCATCGGGTTGATGTGCGCCCATCGTGTGGTATTGTTCAGTGTGGCGGACACGAGAGGAAATCCTCTTGGCGATGGGTGTATCAATTTCGAATCCGGTGTCAGGAGATAATGTCAATCAAGTTCAAGAATAAGAAGTATCAAATCAACTGCAAGCCTTTGGTTACGACAAATATTTCACAGTTGTGTGATTTTTAAAAAGTTTTGAATTGGAATTTTGAATTTAAGTAGAAGCGATTTTCTGATCAGAGCCTTATACTTAGCATATTGCTGGAATTATTTAACATATATGGTTTATAGCAGAGGAAGAAGGATATTTCCTAAAGTATTACTATAATGAGTTTTATCCTCACAAACTTTACTTCT